TGGACGCCGGCTTTGACAGAATCTTAAATTTGGCCACGGTGAGAAATGGTCATGTTGACCTTCGTGATCGGATTAGATTAATATAGGCATGTTTTTTTCATCCCTCTTTAATCATTTGTCTTCTTATCTTTTTATATTCATCTACACATGTACCATTTGTTAATTTCTTTATTCTGTTATATTTTGAGTCCCATTCCTGCAATTAACAAGCTTTCCCTTGTTAAGTTCAAAATGTAAAAATAACAGAACCTATACCCAGTCTTTAAATCAAATGGTAAATACACCTCTCAAATGAATGTAATGTAGTAAAACACACAAATACTAGTTTACGTTAAGTACAAACCAGCAGAGAGCAGCGGCATGAATGAAGTAAACTGTACTAGAAGATGCGTATATTCGGCGTGTCAAGGCTTCATCTTTTCCAGGTCCGAAGTGTAATTCTTAGAACACAGAGGATGTGAATCCCGAGGAACTGAGAGCCACCAGCACTAGTTCTCATGAGGGACCCGCACAAGGAGATTTCCCACGCTTGGTCTGTAATATGCCGTTGCGTCCCCCTCCTCTCGTCTGCCTCACCATAAACACATTAGATGTGGGCGAGAACAGAAACTGCTCCTCTAGTGCACCTCCTCTCGTGTCACATCCTGCTGCTCCTACTTTGTTACAATAACACAGCAGCAGACATGCACGAGGGGATGTGAGGGACATCCTATGGGAGGAAAGGAAAAGAAAGCCCCCCCCCCTCCACCACCCACCACCCCGCCCGGACCTGAGGGCGACAATGATGTGCATCTACATAACACACTCTTGGGGGGGGGGGAGGTTATACTGAGGATGTGCACAATGCGTCATCTACTGACACACAGTGGGTCAGAACACTGCTGTCTTACAGCCATGTGTGATGAAGACTATCAGGGATGTGAATGGGTTTGGTCCTATGATGAACACTCACTACGTTCTCTCCAGTCAGAGGTTCTGTTGACATTCAGGGTGTAACTGACCTTTGGACACGAGTGCAGCTTCATTCGTACTTTTCACTCACGAACAGCATTTGTTCATGACAGGAATTAATTATTATCTCCTCAATGTTAAGTCTAATTTTGTCCTGGAGGTCAAAAGTTGGATAAACAAGGGAGAAAAAACTGGTCCTTATGGTCAGGTTCGTTCACAGCGTTTCACTGCCCCCCGGTGCCATAAAACCACCACTGATGTTGCTTCATCACACTTAAAAAAAAATTGTAATTTAGTAGTTTTGTAAACAAAAGGGTAATGATAATTGAAAAATCAATTCATTGTATTTACTTTAATTAAACAAATGTTGAGACTCATTATTGGTCAACAACACAAATTCAAAATTAAAATTTTGGATAATTTCTCGGCTTGTAACTCATTAAAAAGTCACATCTGGGAGGTAAATATTATTATTATATATTATAAATATATGATTGGAATTAATTGTAGAAATGTATAATATGATAAAGCCCCTTTCTCAATATATGAGGGGAGTGGATTATTTGTTATTCATTTCATTCTGTTTAAGGATTGCACAGATTACAACCGGGCGGCACGGTGGCGTGGTGGTTAGCACTGTTGCCTCACAGCAAGAAGGTCCTGGGTTCGATTCCGCCCAGTGGCCTTTCTGTGTGGAGTCTGCATGTTCTCCCCGTTTCTGCGTGGGTTCTCTCCGGGTTCTCCGGCTTCCTCCCACAGTCCAAAGACATGCTCTGGGGATCAGGTTGATTGGGGACTCTAAATTGCCCGTAGTTGTGTGAATGTGAGTGTGAATGGTTGTGTGTCTCTGTGTAGCCTCCTGCGATTGGCTGGCGACCATTCCAGGGTGTACCCTGTCTATTGCCCGAAGTTGGCTGGGATGGACTCCAGCCCCCCCGCGACCCTGTGTGCAGGATAAGCGGTTTGACAATGGATGGATGGATGGACAGATTACAACCAACTGAATACCCGTCTCCACCGTCTCCCTTGTTTCTGTGAATGGTAACAACTTTAGCCTCACTCAGCCTCCTTGAGACTATCCACTGTTTCAGGAATAGGGGATGTCCGACAGACGCTGCCGTAGTTTTGGACAGAAGCATTTGAGAAGTACAGTGACCTTCATTGTCATGTAAAAATAAGAATTATTACAACATGGGAGACTTGTGGAGGTGAAAAACTCATTCCCAGTCAACGAAAACACAAAAGATTAGTTCAGGTGATTATAGGAGTAATGAAAATGACCAACAGATTATGACAGTTATGACAACAAATTAAACCTAATTGATTCTGCCTAAATGGTACACATTGAATAAGGATTATTGCTAACGGGAACATTCATTTATTTCTGTCGCTGTCTTTTGATTGTAAGCTAAACTCAAACCACAAGATGTCAGTGTCACTGCATAAGTTAACCTCACGCGACTGCTGTGGTGCAGTGCAGGACCAAAAAAAACTGAAGACACATTTTAACGGGATACATCCAAGTTTTTTATGACTTACTACCCAAAAATATTATTTTCCATCATGTAATTAGCATGATACTGCACCATAAATACCATTTATTTAGTAACCATGAAAACAACGTTCTTACACTAGAAAATAAACTTATTGTCATCTGGACTTTTCTCCCAGTGGAGGTCAGTTGAGTGTTTGCTTGAAGCACCGTGAGTGCTATTTATGCGAATTATTGTAAATAACAATAATAATATCATTGTCCTTTGCACTAATTTTAACAGCAGGGGGATGAAGCTGCAGGGACTTTACACAATAGCTGCCTTGTTATATTCCTTTGCCACTCGTACATGAAGTGTTATAAAATGTCTGTATTCATAAGACTGGTAATCAGATGGAGACAAACAGGATGGCAGGCGATCCGTCTTCTCCTGAAGGAAAGTCTTCATTTCAAAAGAGTGCAATTGGAACCATATCTTCAAAGGAATGTCGTTGTTTGTGATTTTGGTTGTTGGGAAATAAAAATTGCTGTGAGCATCACAGATTCTGTTCACTCTGACAACTGGTATGATAGAAAATGTGAGAGACGTCTCCAAGCCACAGCAGATGAAATGTATTAAATTATCGACTGTCCTCATGTCCTGTGCTTTTCTAGCAAGCTGTGATTTGTGGTAAAGGGAGTTGCAACCATAATCTCTGAGAAGCAAAGGCAGTGTTTTTACAGGAGGACTTTATGACGGGTTCAAGGACTGACAAAAGCTGTGACTTTAAAATATGATAGGAGTCAGCTTTTCATATACAACACACAATATGTCACGGTGTGGGTTCAGTTCCTGTCTTATTTTGTAATTTTGCGCCTCTCGTGTCCCTGGGTTAACTTCACTTCCTGGCTTGCTCTTGTTTCCTCCTGTGAGTGTGAATGTCTGCGTGTGTCCAGACTCCTGCACCTTCCCAGTGAATTTAAACCGTGTCTTTCTCCTTTTGGGGAGTCCTTTGGTTGTCATGTAGTCCTGGTTCCTGTTTGCCCTGAAGCATTTGGTAATTCTCGTACTTAAATAAAGTATCTTTGTTATCTGTGTTTGAGTCCTCCGTGTCCCCTGTGATGGGGACTATGAGTGTATATATTTTGTGTGGTTCACCACCAGTCACCTTGCAATCTGCCACAAATGTTCCAAACAGACCAAAATTAGTTACAATCTTATAAATAAATGACAATCTTATCCGCTTCCGTTCAAAATAAATGGCAGAACTACAATTAACTATTTCGTTTCAGCAACTTCAACCTTTCAAATCATAGAGGTAGGCAGATATAGCATCAAATTGGACATTATTGTTAACGATAATGATTGACATTATTGTAAATTAGGGGACAAATATAGCCGCCACTTACCGCTGTGTTGGAAAACAGGTTCTTCGGTTTAAATTCATTTCACCTTTCAAAATAACTATTCATATGGTTTCATGTTTCTGCCTGCAAGTTCAATATTCATTCTACTTTAAGCTCAGATTTGGTTTTCAATAAAGACAAATGTTAGACCAAAAACATCAATACATTAAAATATGTTGAGTATATTTAATTCTTCATCCTAGGCAGGTGTCTTTTTTAAAACTAAAAAAGTGTTTTTACTCTATACACGTTTTACACGTTATTGAAAAAAAAATGTATAAATCAATGTGTAAAATAAACCTGTTGGATGCATTTCTGCAGTACTGTTCGCAAATGCCAAAATGTAAAAGAAAAAACAGTTTTACAGATGGCCATTGTTTACATCTAGATAAATGTCAAAAGGTTAATATGGATAGGGAGCCAACATTATGAGATGTTTATATGCATCAAGCCTTTGGACCAGCTGTTGGTCACCTGACACTGGCTTTCCTCTACAATGATAACATCTGAATACACAGAGGACATCCAGCCACATGTTGTACTCTGCCTACTGCCGTAATGCACTATATCAATCCAACAACAATGGCCATAGTTAACATTTTAATGAAGTAGTATATAAACAGCTTTTTCACTGTAATCATTTTTTAATTATTACCTCACCGGAGGGCTTTTATCCTACCTGCTTAGTCTGCAGATGGCAGAGGCAGCAGCTTAGCTCTTATTTTATCTTAAGTTCATGGCTTGTGCAAACAGTTGCAGGCAATAATAAAGTTGTATTGCTCTTCCTATTACGTTAATGTAGTCACACAATCTCTGTTTCCCGTTTTTCGTTTACATGATATGGGATAAAAGCTCAGGTTATGCAGATGCTGTCATTGTGCCAGTTCTTTATGAGACAGCAGACCCATTTCCAGTACGATTACAGGTCCACACAACGTCGGTGGCCGAAGGGCTCGGGCCTCACAGTAAACACATCATTAGGTCAGTCGAATGATTTAACAAAAAGACTGAGACCGTCTTTGCACAGTGCATACGATCCACTGACAATAATATGTTGGGATTTGATATTTGATGCTGGTAATGTCATTAATAATGTGTTTTGGGGCATTTTTAATTGTGTGCTGCTGATTGTAAGTTCCATCAATTTCTTCAAGCACATCACATTTTAGTATTTGTTTTTTTAAATAATTCACTTTATTTGCAAGTACGTGAAAAAAACAGGTATAAATATTACATTCATAAATTATTGTTTGGTAAAAATAGCACATTTTCAGCAAATAAATACAAATAAATAAGTACCTTACATTCCTGTTTACAAACAGTGCAAGACTTGACAGAGACATCACAACAACAAGGGTTTGCCAATTGACAAAGAAAAAAAGTGCTTCCCCCCCTCTTTCATTGTCACTCAGTCTGCAATACAACAGTCCACTTAAGGCCACAACTTCCATTATTTCTCCTCCATCGTGTTTTCCCCTTCCCTCTCTGGCGTCTACACACCACGCCCGTCCACAGCTGCTCTCCTGGCGATCTCTGCTCCTGCACGCGTCCACGAGTCCAGCTTCACGGTGCAGCGGCCGACGCCGCGCATCTCTTGCCTTCTCAAACCTTGAGGCGAATCGTTAACAATCCTCGACGGGAAGGGTTCACACCTTCCGTTGTTGCTCGGGCCGCGCGGTGGCCTTGGTGCTCGGTTTGGCTTGGCGCAGCAGGTCCCTGTAAGTCGGCGAGCGGAGGAAGCGAGGGTAGCAGTCTTTGGCCATGAGCATGTAGATCTTGTGTTGGGCCGAGTCGAAGCAAGAGAGTGAAGGCTCCAGCATGTTGGCTCTGGTGATGTCACGGGTTTCGTGGTCAATATTAATCTGTTGAAAAAAAAACAGGAGGGTCAGGTTAGTTTTCCATTCTTCTTTCGCGTATGCAGCAATGCCCAGTGTGTCTTCATCATTTAACTTTAAGGATTCAGACTTGAATCTTTTGTTTCTGCTTACCTCTCGTGGAGCATCGCTGCCGATGAATTCATCATAGATCGTTTGGGCTTTGGCCGGTAATTTGATTGCTGACTTGGTTCTTCTGTAATCTTCACAGGCAAAGTAGAACAAGATGTTCTCTTCGCTAAACTCCGACACCAGGAAGGCCGTGAAGGCACACAGTCCATCTGAGGACAGAGAGAATTTTTGTTGAATTGAATTAGTCAGTGAACATAATGGTCCCCCGAGGGGCTGCTTTCCTCTGTGTGCGATGCTGCAGTATGAGCGCACTCGTATTCACGTGTGATATTTAGTGTGGAAATGTACTTACATTTACTGGACAGGAGTTTTTCAAAGGACTCTTTCCACATAAGGCATTCCTCCAGTGTTGCCCTGAAAACAGATAACGCAAGATTAGACCCATCATTTAAAGCAAGCACACAGCGACTTATATAAAATGAGGTTTTAGTCACATAAAGCACAGTATGTGTAATGCTTACTTATTTTTCCCTTGTTTGCACCACGATAGATTCCAAGTGGAGTGTTGCAAAATGCTTCCCAGCATTGCCCTTAGCTCCTTAGCCCTGTGAGGAAAAGAGAACAGGTTAGATGCATTTTTCACTAAAATCAATTTTCCATACGGAGTAAAATTCACCACATTAACTAAAACAGACTCATTTAGCATCTTAAACCCTCTCGCATCGATGCACAAAGACAAAGTAGCAGAGCTGCCCTCCATATGCTGAAATGCAAATCCCTAAAAAAAACAGCAAAGCGAGTGTTTGCATGATATTTCATGTACCTTTCCAAAAAGCTGTTAGGAAGTGATGCCAGTCCTTTGCACATACTGCGGCAGGGGGGGGGGTTGTAGCTGGTCGGGGTGGTTCCTCGAGCAGGTGGCAGTTAAATATCCGTTTGGTGAAGCTCAGTAGGATGCAATGTTTTCTGTGTGCCTGGAAAGAGCGCGAGCAGAGGCTTTATAGTCCCACCGCCCCCGCTTCAGATGATATGTCATCAGTCCTCTCAGCCAATCACAGAGAGGTAGGGTGAGAGAAAGGGAGGTGAACTAATAATAAAAGTCACTGATGTTCTCACATGTCCCTGAAAACATGTCCCAGTGAATCTTTTATTTTCATCCTTTTCTTTCAAAAAAAACCATTACACACATGACAATATGTAGTTTCTAGACAATTGTAGTCAGATTTTAGAGATTATGTCCCATTGAAAAAGGAAAAACCTTTTAGAATATCCTGAAATCTTGTTCTACCTCATACATTGAATTTATGAGGGTCATCACATACATAAGCTAATAACATCTACCTCTACGTAACTACAATCACACCCAGCTTCTTTATGGACGTTATAAAAAAAGGTATCCATTCAGGGGACGGATGGGAAAGACGTGTGGTATTTACTCTGTTTAACGATAACGCTGCATGCAACTGCTCGACACAATGAAGCTGAAGCAATAAGTCTCCCGTATGGCCAGTTGCAGGTTACTTATCGAAGATTTGTTTATCATCATATAATTCGGGTGGGGTTGGCATAAGTTATAGGCAATGTGAAAGGGAAGTTATGACGCTTAATGCTGTGCAGTACTGACAGAAGGAATTGTAATTTATTCTATTCAGGTAAGATATATTTTAAGCACATCTTAAGCTACCAGAGCCAATGTTGAGTTAAATGAACTTCAACCACAAGTGACAGTGTGAACATTGTATTTCCACTCTTTTTTCAAGTATAACCATGAGGATTTCCAGGAACTGGGACCCAATGGCCATGTGACAGACAGAGTTCACCCCCCTCTAATGACTAAAAGAAGACGTGTACACTTTAGAAAATAGTTTTCAGGGATTTTATTACTAAATGTAATATCAATGTGTCATTAAAAAGCAGCTATGCTATACATTTTTTCTCTCTTGTAAGAGAGTAATACTTACATGACTTTAAAAAAAAAAAAAACTACAGCTCAAACAGCTCAAACCAAAAAGGTTATCCTTTTCCACAAGCATTGTCACTTAATTCAACTACGTTGATCATAACACAAGAAGTGTCCCAGACAAAATACACGTCTAAATTAACATGCTTTAGAGATTTAAAAAAGAAAATTACAAATACAAACTGTATTTTGATTTTTTACATTGGCTAAATCATTTCATTTAACATGTGGGCCCAAGTTTTTAACAGCTGTTCCTCAAACAGGATGAAAATGTACTTGTGTTGTGGATTATTCTCAGAAGTGGAACAACACAGTTCACCCTTGTTTTACTGGTGAGTATTTATGGTGGCAGAACTGTGCACGTTGATTTAAGAATTTCCATGCTCATCTGGATAACGGAAACCCTTCATCCAGTTCAACAGTGGAGCTCATTGATGCTCTTCATGGTATCTGGCCGCCGATGCGCAACACAGAGGAATGAGATATTTCGGGCTATGGATGGAACACAGGGAATACTTGTTTGTTCATTAGTATGACCAACTCATTGTGGTTTTTACTGTTTTTCACGGAATTTGTCGTGTTGTGTTTTCCTGACAAGTGACCTTTTTTTTCGGTGAATGACTCTTGTGTCCCCCTTAGATGAGATGGTGGAAGACGAATTGTCGTTTGCGTTCCATTAAACGTGGTTGTGGAAGACACTAGATTTCAATCATTTTTGTACTACACGCTAAATGGGTTCCTTTTGAAAAGCACTGGAAACAAAGGGGTCAGAGATGGCACTTTCAACAACCGCCGTATCGCTGCGCTGAACAACTCAAAGGGCACATCCTGCGATACAGGAGCATTTCATTCGATCCATGAGAAGGCATCACTCATTAGGTCGAGTCAGCTAGGGTCGACTTGATTGGAAAAAGCAACAGAGGAATGACCTTACCTGTCCAGATTCATTGTGCTGGGAAAGATTTAATTGCACCATTTCCGTTGCCGAGAACAAAGGCCGGAGTAGCCCGGGGGATCCCGGCCACCCACTCAGACGCAGTAGTGCGCTGACATCACAGTATGACAGTCCTATTGACACAGCAACCCGGAAACTAGAGAATAATAAATGTTACGTTGTTTAGCGAAGGGCCTTATCTGGGTGCTGGAGACTCACTGTCCTTGAAACCTGTAGATGCAACACACACACACACACCCTACATCACCATATGCCCAAACAAGATGCCTATTATACTGAGAACTCTCACAAACTCTACAAACTTGATGATTGGAACAAAGCAGATTGTCCATGTGTTTGACAATGATAATAAATAATGTAACATGCTTGTGTGACAAATACATGACAGCGGTTTTATCATAAGATTTCTCAGAAAACTCTTTTGTGTCCCTATCAAAGATCTCAGCAACAGTGTTTCATTGTCTAATCAGCCATTTCCTAGTAAGGCCATTGTTTTTTCTCAGCTGTAAAGCTTCACTTTACAATTGGGATCAACACATGGGATGGTACCGTTGCAAACGATTGGATTCAATCTATTTGTTGAAGGGTCATCGCTAACAGACTGTCTAATCTGAGATGCTTCGGGTCTTGAGGTTGTTTCAGTGCTCAATTTAAAAGTTGCCCTAGAAAGAGTTTGAAGTTAAATTTACGTTGCGTTTTTCAAATATTGAACCAAGCAATCATGCAAACTGCCCTTCTTTCCCTCGAATTTCATCTCTTCAACTAAAACACAAGTGATCAACAAATTAGGTAAGTCTTAAGTCAGAGCTTTTTTTGCTACGTGACTTAATTCTTTGTAGAAATGGCGATGGATTCAAGGAAGAAAGAAAGTATTCTTTATTGATTCCCGTGGAGAAATGATTCTCTGGATTTATCTCATCCCACACAGTGGGAGCAGTGTGCTGCCATCAAGGCGTCTGGGGAGCAGTGAGGTGTCTTGCTCAGGGGCATTTTCGACACGGGACACGTAGCCACCGGGATCCAAACCGCAAACCATTCAAGAACAGAACTAAATAGATTCACTTCAGGAAGTGTGCTATTTATTTGATCTGAATTTTAAAATGGCTGAAAAAATAAAAACATACCAAATGAGCACCATTTTCCTTTAGTGCGTTACATTGATTAGTTAAAAAAAAAAAGATCACAATTGAGTCCCAGCTGGCCTGATCGTCTCCGGGACCAAATGGAGTCAGAGGCCAATTCAGGAAAGCTACATTGCCCGACTTCACCTCAACCCATAACTGTATTCATCTGATTTGGACAAAGCCCTTTTACCTCCGGCTACCTGATGTTGGAAGTCCTTTTTCATCTCCGTTCATCTCCAGCCTGGCGGGGACCTTAAGTTTAATGCAGCCTCAGCTGTGATGAAGGGAAAGCTCATCTCCAGCTCAGCGGGCTCCTTTCTCTGTTCACCTGAATCTAGAGGAGTATGCAGGATTGGGATCATCGTCTCTTCAGGGGACGCTGTTATGCCATCTCCTCAAAGCAGAAAATTAGACACGTACCTGATACCTCACTTTCACTCTAATGGAACATGCTGGACAGAAAAGAAAAAGACCACCAATAGCAAATGACAGTGAAGTTTAGAATCTCCTTGTAGTTAAAAAAGGTCAGTTTACAACTTAATAATAACTAGAGCCTCCAAAATAACCATTACAGCTCAGAACGATAACTTTGACTTTAAAAATGATGCAACTGGAAAAACCCGGCCTATTGTCAACCACTCATGTCCAATTAAAGTAGCCAGCGGCAGCAGGTCAAACATTGCTAAATCTTGCAAAAAAAGTTAGCAAGTCAGCGACAGCCCGCGGAATCAATATCTATCTCAACCTTTAAAAATAAAACATTATAATCTCCATCAGGGTTCGATCAATTGTTGAGCTATAAAACGTTATTAGAATTATTTTCATTAAACTGGCACATGAATTGAATCCCACATAAACCAGACATTAAAGCAATGAATTACCGTAATCTTCCTCTGAAGGATATAAAATCAGAATGTAACATTAGATAAAGAATTAGCAGATTGTTTCCAACATCTTGCTCCTTGTGTTTCTAATGACGATTACTACGCAGCTACAAAACAGGAGTAAGCTCAGGAGGACAATTCAGCGCTCCAGCTGTCTGCTTTGCGATGCTGATCACTCCCACAATACAGACTGTTCATATATTAGGCTGCAGAACAAAACACACAAGGCAGCTGCGTCTTACACGTGAGCTTCCAACCGAAGTGCTGATGCACGTGTACACCTTGTCCATGGGCCCCGAATTAAACTAAATGGAGACAACGTGGGTGAGCTTCTCTGCAAACTCGGCCTAATGTATTGCCTGAGGAAGTGCTAAAAGCATATACAAGTTATTATTATGCAAGTAATTGCCCTGCTTGTGTTGGACAAGGTGAAATGTGGGGAAACCCAGCATCCGAGCCTCCATTCAATGCCACAGGAAACATCAATAACGTTGCCTGGCAATACACCGGCCTCTATGTTTGTTTTTGTTTTTCTGAAGGTCTTTCAGAGCTGTGACTCACTGATGAGTGGAGGGGGCAACTCAAAGCCCATTCAAACCAATAACTGAATGGAAACGTTCAAACAGAAACAGAAGTGGAAGCATTCAAAACAGAATTGAGTGAATTGCTGGGAAATGTTCTTAATGTTCTGATGCCAGATTGATCTGTATGGACTAAAACTTAAAGAAAACCTCTCATTGAGACATTTTTTTTAACATTAGAATATTCATATTCACAAATAGGTCATACAAACCACAGATCACATGTTGTAATGCTGCCATTCCTGGGAACATTGCACAGCATGATACAGCAACACCTTCCAATGAGGTCAAATCCTTTTTTTGGCTGGTTTGTAAATGGAGCGCACGTTTCACACGTGTTTCCAAGCAAATTTATGAACCCTGATGGTAAACTACAGGCTTCTGTTCCATTAGAAATGTCCTCAGAGTAATGCGTTTTCATGATGAAACGTAAATGAAAACAGATGATTGCTGAAATGCCACATTGAGTTCTCAAGATGTAGTAGGGCTCTGAGAGACGGAGGCTTCATGACATGGACTAAACATTCGGGAAATAAAAAGGTTCTGGCTCTAATGAAAACATATTTCCGATTGATATTAGGATCCACGATCCAAAAATGCTCATATCCACCTTTTGAACATAAAGTGCTGGGACAGTTCATCCCAGGCCTCTAAACATTTGCTAAAGTGGCCCAGTTTGATCTCTGTGGGAGTGCATCTGGCACCCTCAGGTTGCTCATCTGTCTGATCGTCCTCCGGGGGGAAGAGAAGTAAGCACGCCAGGCGGAGGCCCAAACAGATGCTCACTCTGGCTGTTAAACAATAACCACTGGAGTGTGCTCCCCCCTCAGCAGCACTACGATCGGCAACTACTCCCAGGAGACTGCATAGAACAGCCGAGCTCACAGTATGCAAACTGTCCCGAGACAAAAAAAAAAGGAATAATGTTTTTCCGTTACGATGTTGTTTCTGCGCGTCTTTATCTCCAAATCACTTCATCTTCAAATAGTGTGTCTTGTTCTGCTCTGTTATTCTCTTCTTTTGATGTTCGAGTTTGATCTAAATTCTTTGACTGTTGAAGTTGTGCAAGAAGTGGGGTCACCCAGGCAACTTTTGGTGTTCTCCAGAATGGAAATGTAACTGAAAGGAAGTAGTGCAATGTGCAATTATACAGAACACGATGAATGGATGTGTTACAACTTAAACTGTGATTCCTTAGAGAAATGTTAGGCTGGAGATCCGTAAGTGATTTGGATTTTTTGCAGGTTTTTGTTCATTAAGAAATGTTCAAGAACATTTCAACCACCGTGTAGAACCTAAATATATGTATTAAATTTTGCATAATAATAGTTTTAAAACTGAAAATGGTGCGGAGCACTGTCATCCAGATTCATCCTCACTGGTCCCAAACTGTAATAATTCCATAGGAAGATATTTTCAAGTGATCACGAACAGATTTATTAATCCTCTCTTACAGTTAATTATAATACGGGTAGATGAAATCCAGCGTTCTGATTGGTTGAGAGTGAGTGACTTGGTGCATTATTGAGCGATAATGTACAGTTGCTGTTCACATTGACCAGAGTGTTCCGTATCACTGCGCACTCAAAGCAACAGGTTAGATTTTACGGTTTTCGACGATCAACGTTTTAGCTTTTAGCTAAAACCTGGAAATCCCACAAATGATCGGTTTCCACCAATGCGAGCTTTCACAACGGGACAATTAAGGTGGACGTCATGAGCAATGTGAATGAATGAGATGGACCCAATACTGTTTACGTGCACGTACGGAGACTATTTTTCTCTAGACTACTGAAATGAGATACACAACGTTTGGTCGTAAATACTATTTTGTGCTGAAGGGCAGCTATACTACTAATACTTCACTGGTAACCGTATTATAAAAGCAATAAGGTACTTGAGGCAGAACTTTATTTACAATAATGTAACAGTTTGAGGGTTTCACCACGAACTGTTACATTATTGGACGATAAAGTACAGCCTCTTGTACCTTATTGCTTAATTAATGAATAGGTGCCAACAATAATCCAGAGCATCACACGTCTCACTGCAGGGAATGTTTTTAGGTCATTTCATTAAAAGGACGCCCAACAGATATTTAAAATTTGATGCTTATTGGACAAAAAACAAAAACCTGTCACGTTGCAAGACAAAATCTGGGCTGTCAAGTGTGCTCTTCATTTTACCCTGAAAGATGATCGCATTGTGTGTGTGTGTGAGTCTGTGAGGCGTGTTGTGGAGTGAGGTGGAGTGTAATGAGACAGGACCGGGGTTATCTGGCTGAGCTAAAAACAGATTTCAAAACCATGAATAAAGTATAACCTCAATGTTCTCTCCAACAAAATCCAACTCCAGCTGGTGAATTGCTGACTTCTAGGTGGTCCTTTACCAGTAGATCTTGCCCTGGAGAAATCACTGAGAATGATTAACTTGACGCTGAATAGCTTTTCTTTCTTTTTTTTTTACTGTACCCCGCAGATGGGGCTGCAAAACGTTTGGACCCGAAAACAACAGGACGGATATTTGACTCTTGTCAACATTACATTGTATGAATGTTCCTGCTGCCTTGGAGATCATAACAAACAGCCATTAATGTCAATACCTGGAAGCAGCAGGTAGTGTTATTCACAGAGACTGTTGTTAGCGACTAAAAACAAGTGGTGGCACACATGTGGATAATCCAGTCCCATGGGAATTTGGCGTAATAAGGACCTGATGGTGCAATGTACAGAGAGATGTGTAGAGATACAGTATTTAAAAAGGTGCTTCTACTGTATGTAAAGTCTGCTCTTGGTGCGTGTTTTGTTGTACCCAGATGACAATAAAACCTGTGGTAAGAGCCTGAAATAAATCTAAAATATACCGCAATTTGAATCTCGGCTTGACCAAGTTCTAAATTTTCCAATTTGAGTGCTGGATTCCTCCACCTAAACAATAGCTGTTGAATGATAAACAGTAGTTTGTTATTGTTTTGCCCCCACTGACTCTAAAACACACCCTGGAATCTGGAAACGGAATTTTTACTAGCAGAATGGTGCCCACAGTTCAGGTGTCCTGCATGACAAAAAAAAAAAAAAAATCAGTATTAGGTGATGAATTAATTTTAAAAAACCTCAGGTTTTAGGCTTAGTATGATTGAACCTTTCAGTTATTCTTCAAATGTGGGAAACACTGAACTGGAAATGCTATAGTGCACGAAAGTTTAGGGGCCAAAATATTTCAACAACGAGCTGATGGAGACACATTATAGATCCTTGTTTGACTTTGATAACTCGTGTTAGCATATCAAGCTTGCAGGGAAAAAAAGTCTTTCTTCAGCTTGAAAGAACCTTCACTTTTGCTGTTAAACCCTACTATGACCATTTTTTATATTTACATCTCCGTCATGAGAGAGACTGGTTGCAGTCTCGTAACATGGACAGTCAACATTATTGTTTTCCCTGTACAGCTCCTGTTTATCTCAGAGGACGAGTAATCAGCCGTCCTGCACATCCTGACTGTGATCCATAGTCATGGCAGCGATGCGCCACAGCAAAGTGTTTTCTATTCATTAGAGAGACCGTAGAACGGGATGGGGTGGTATTGATGTGATTGTGTTCAAGGAGAAAACAAGACCTACCTATTATATAATATTATTATACAAACACTAGGTTTGCAGAGGAAAGCAGGTGGAATCGGACGTCTTGCTTGAAGTGCATGTGTTTGAATCCAGCTGCATTTACCAATTATGTGAAAGACGGCATCAACATTAATTCCCATCAAACTAAGAAAAGGGCACCTACACATGGCTTTGAAAAACACTGATATCCATGAACATTATTTTAATTTGAAGACCATCATAACCACGGATGCGTTGGACCAGTCATCATTTTTGTTTGCAGTTGATGATCATCATCATCAGCTCAGTGATGACTTCCACAGAAGAGTGTTGGCTGTGTCTTCTGGCCCAAAAAGGCTTGTCTTCTTTCTACCGAGCTTTGAGCTCTTTATTCCCAGATTGAGACACACACACATAAAACCAACAACTGCAAAAGTCAATGGACGTCGAATGTCGACTCCATCCAGCCAGAGCACCAGATAATTAACAGAAAATAAATAGTGCAATGTTTGATCACTGTTGCAGGTTAGTTTTTTCTCCTTTGCATTGTTACAACAGTCTTGAAGTAGCTACAACATCTGTGTTTAAAATGTTGAGGAAATTTCTGTTTGAGATTAACTGACTTCGTTACTCTTCAGCCAGTCATTTTATTTCGGCTCAATTCCTGCTCATCATTTAAATAGAAACCACATTGAAATCCTAAATGAACCGAGAGAATTAATGAATAACTTCCCAGATTGAGTCTTTTCTTCTTCTCTGGTCTCACTGTAGTTATGAAACGGCATTTGAATTGAGGTCAATCAGTTGGCCCGATCAGTGGCTGAATGCATTATCACATTTCTTATTCGTGAGAATAAAGCCACACAGCACACAAAATCTAGATGCAGATTCATTTTTTAATCGCAAAATATAGTGGGGAGGTTACATTCATGTGGGACACAGTACCATACCATGTAGGCAGATATGTTGTTCAGCCAGTTTAATTGCATATCCAACAATTTGGCCTTTTATAGTGCACATGCAATAAATAAAAATATTTGTCTTCCCTGAAATTCTTTCAAATCCGTATTTTAAAAAGGAGTGCAAATGCTGAGGGAGCACATTTAAAAACACATTGTCATGTTGCAGACATTTTCATTATATACTGTACAAGTTGAAGTATATCTAAATAGTTATTTTGTAGTATTGCATCATGCTGAAAAATATTTAGGAAATTTGCACAACACAATTTTCAACAGACTATTTGGGGATCGGGGCATTTACTTTCAATTCACCACTATCACGAAGCTAATAGATTCTCTTTTCAATCGTAGCAAATCAATGATGTCATAAATTGCAATTTCCATTACTCATTACTTTACTTTAGGAAAATAGTCATTTTAAATGAACTAATCAGGATGACAGCATATTTCTGCATGCTGAATAGCAGTGAATTGGAAACAAAAAGTAACCCAACCCTTGATTATACTCATACACATATAATACCTGCAAGAGTTTACAATACACAGGAATATGTAGTTACATTAATGTCTAAATGCAATCTAATTTGGCACAGTTTCAGGTGTTGTCTCACTTCATTGTTCAATGTAAACACAAACTACCATATAGATCTAGTAACCTACGTACAACGTGTCTATTTAAGAACTGAAGATAAGTAATGTTAGTGCTGGGTGACAAAACGTTAAAGATATTCATCTCTGTACATATTTCTTTCAGGATTAAATAAAATGAACACAGTAGCCTAATTTTAATGGCCCAATATATATTTTTTAAAACATTGGTCGTTTAAACCACAATTAATAAATCGTGTTTAAAACAATGGAGATTGTTTAAGTGGGGAATTAATGTTAATTCTATATAAAAAATAAGTATTATATCATGTTTTATCTCCACGAATAAAATACATTTACTGTAATAAATGCATTAATCAAACCCCAGGAGAGACCACAGCGTAGATCAGTTGAATGGCAACCACTACTAAAATAAACCAAAACAGATCAATAAAACAGACAATTTGAAACAATAAAATGCTCAAATAAAACTTTACATTTACATGTCAATTTAAAAAAAGTTCCTCGTTAAGTTTCAATATTGATTTTTAAATTTTCATTTTGTTCCATACAGTATAAATTACAAAATGCATTCAACTGACAACAGCCCTCGGTTTTCTCAGCTGTACATTAATGTTTTCATTTCAAGTAATACTTTCATTAGCTGTTTTATACTACAGCAAAACAACACTATTAAAGTTGGTTGTAGCTTTCCATTGTTGCTTGCTCTGTTTAATAGAGCAAGCAGTCAGTTTAATGTTCTTCCATCATATATTTGAAGGTCATCATTACGTCTGATATCTCCTAAATTAGTGCATATTGTGATAAATAGCGCGATAAGGAATTTTTAATATATTTCAAACTATATCACCCAGCACTAACTGGAGGTAAAGAAATTAGCTTATCCTCATCAAATCTCTTCTGCAGTGAAGAGTGTAGTCCACGAAGACACTGTTTCTAGAGGGATTGCATGCATGGAGCTAGTGTAGACAAAAGGAAACAGTCAAGCATGTTGCCCCATCCTTGCAGATTCACAGTATTCAGAGATGATGTCAAAGGGGTTAACTAGCGATTTACAGTGTAGGTCCAGTTAGATGTCAGTTGTGATTTCCATCAGTTTCAGTCAAACAGACCTCCGCTGACCATGAGCATTCGCCCTGTTCACCATATCCTGGTACATCTTGGACCTGAGGAATCGTGGGTAGGAGTCTTTCTCCATGAGGCCGTAGACTTTGCCTTGGACTTCGTTGAGGCTGGTTGGGGATGGATCCTCCAGGCTCTGCTTGGTCTTTTCCCTGGTGCGGTAGTCAATGTTTACCTGAAAAAGCAAATTCAGACACCACTTATTTGGGAAGGCAATATCCATTATTTGATGTAGTTAAGGAGAATTATTGCTTGAAGCCAGTCAGTAAACTAAAACAGGAAATGAGGCTAACAAAAAAGTACCTAAAACTACAGAGTATGTGTCACATAAAGAGCTTTTGAGGTTTACTCAAATGTGTAAAAACAGTGAAAGATTGCCAACATCTGACTTTCTTTGTGAAAAACCTGGTCCTAAACTATGGTCTTAATTATTTGATTTACATCACTGATCTAGAGGATTCTTTTAGCAAGCATCATTAGGTGAAGGAAAACACATTAAAAACAGCAGTCACACAAACCTCTCTGGGCGCCTGAATATCAATGAACTCCTGAAAGATCTTGTTTGCTTTGGACACAAGCTTGGTTGAGCTCTTGATTTTTTTGTACTCCTCGCAAGCCATCCAAAACTCGATATTCTCGTCACTGAACTCTGACTTGAGAAATGTCCGGAAGGCAGCGAGGCCATCTGGAAAGAACAAATGAATGAGGCATCAAGCGGAGGAGGTGAAAACCACAACAAAAGCACTTGAAAAGCATGATTGAAATTGCAGTACAGCACTTATATCTCTGCAGCAGGAAGCTGGATGTGTTTTTTTTGGGGTGGTGGGGGGGGGGGTCATAGAAGATTGGCGTGATCATGTCAAACTACGCGTCACACTATGTTGATATTTTTGCAGTATGCGCACACACTCTTCCCAGAAGAGGGGAAATGGCCCACGTGACGAGAACAAAATACTCCCACAAAAGATCGCTGTTTTTTTTTTGCAGTCTCCAAAAGTCAAGATGAGTGATCAATTAATGTGCTCCCCGCTGATGATAACACACAGGAAGTCCATGTTGTTCTATGGGCCCGTGTCACACTGACATGTTATTTTCCACCCTCGTATCTGCTGTTTACCTAAAAAAGAAAAAAGAAAAAAAAAAAAAGCAGAGCAGAGCAGAGAGGGTGACCCATCTCTGCATAATCAAATATTCCTCATGTCTGTGTTGTGTAGACAACAACTTGCAGGTTTACATGAACGCAGGGCTAAACACAAACATGCAGCTTGAAGAAGTCCTCGGGTAACTGGGGTAACACAAGTGGGAGCCAGACGTCAGCGTCTGAAGCATTCCCCGTTATCCTCTTGAACAAATTGGAAAGTATTTTAAAAAGATTTTTCTCCCTAGTGACACACATTCTGAACAGCACTCACAGACCAACAACCTCTGCTGAGAATGCAAAATCATAGATTAAGGGTAGCATATTGCCTTTAAATCAGTCTGCATGGTTTGTAAAAAAGTTGTTGCATTTTAGTGCGTTATTAAAATCTGGATTGACACCGGCAATTTGTAATTGTAGCAAAAAATATTGATTGTGGGAAGGTTAATAAACATCTCACATGTGCATGGATACACATGTTTGTGCCCTTAAACAAAGTGTTACTGTGAAAAGGTCATGGAGATCTTCGGCAATAGTAATGGCTGCAGTTAGGAAACAAAACCACTATGTGGTAGACGGGTGTTCCAGAGCTTAGCATATCCACGCAAACCCATTTTCAGTGCAGTCAGTAACTACAAGGATGAACAATCGATAGTGCGCAAAAGCAAGAAAGATTGTTATTGCACGCAAAAAATGACTGAAATTCTCTCATCTTTCATACGCTAAGAAAGCATCACTAGAATTGACTCCTTTCACACATTGTCTGTCACACACACGCCCACATCATAGTTTATTTGTCATCTTCACTGCATTGTTCACTAACTCTCCTGTCATTTCAGATCCTCCCACCTATTCACCTGATTTCCTGCACCTGGTTCTCCTCACCCTCACCTGTGGTGCCTCCCCTCGTCAGTCACTCACTATTTAAGCCCGTCACATTCTGTTGCTCACTGCCAGATTGTCTTGTGTGTTTAACCAAGTTTTCCAGCGTGTCCCTAGTTATCCCGTCTACCTCGATCCTGACCTTGTCCTGTCCTCGACCCCGATTTACCTGCCTGCCCTGTTTCGGATTTATCTGCCTGTCTGTTTGCCATGCTGGTTCTGACACTGCCTGTCCTCGTCTGCGGATTACCTGCCTGCCCCTCTGGAATTGTTTGCCTCCTGACGGATGTCCCGGTTTTGGACCCAGCCTGAACTTTCATTAAAACCACTCTGTCTTGTCCATCGTGTCCGAGTCGTGCGTTTGGGTTCTCCTGTACTCCGGTACCAGTAACCGTGACATTCAATTTGAAAATCTTCTTCACTGCCTTTCCCACTGCTATATTTGTTGGTGCATTCACATTGCGAAATACAGAAGACGCAAGACCAAGGTGGTTTAGGTATTACGGCAGGTTTTCGTTGGAAATTGGAGGGGCAGAACCTTTATTGCTTGGTAGGTGTTTGAGGGGGTTAGCCTAAGCTGAAGAGAGCCTCCCCATGGCTGCTGGAATGAAACCAGAGTGCAGAGGCTCAAGCTGCACCCTGGCCATAGTCAATACAGTGTTAAAAAACAATATAGCTCCGCTGAAAACACTGCTGTTATGATGGGTTCTCAAAAAGCTGACAATTTATCCTCACTCTTTATACCGCCGTCACCCAGATACAATGAGCAAGAAAAGCCCAACGCTGCTGCTTATCAAGCACACACAGTGATCTCACACAAACAAGCCATGTAACCGCTGATAATGTGTGCAGGTCAGGCCACCGCAGCCACATAATTAACTCTGCACAATGAAGAATGACACTAAAAACGCAGTCAGGTCTTATTGGTATACCCTTTCCCTCCCTGCTAGGTGCTGTGTCCCTATTGCTTTGACTTTACTTGACGTACTATATGTGCATATGTGTCCCGGTCTCTATTCTTGGCTGTGAGGCAAACTAGGTTTGCAAAACAAAATGGTGTTAGAACCATGATCTGGACAAAAAAGGTCATTGTCATGTTAGGACATGGTGTTTGCAGCTTTTCTTCCCCCCATCTCGACTGGCGGTCTCTGATCCCTGTTACAGTAAAGTGTTTTGTCTGAGTGGTACATCCTAGTTGTGTAAGCTCAAACCAAAGCTTTTGAAGGTAGCGGCAATTCAGGAAACAACTAGGCAGTGTGTTCCGGGAAGCTGTATTTGCCTGAAAACAAAAACATCCGCTGAGCTACAAACATCTTTTCCAAAATATGTCTTGGTCTTTCACGCGGCAATTTGGATTCCACTGCTTGGTGACTCCACTGATACGGGATTCCTTTTAAACTGGACTTTTTTCTCGAAGTTGTCAAAAGAAACCGGGATGGACTACATCAGTCTCGGATCAACGTTTGTCTACTGTATTTTAAGCTGTATACTATTAGTGAAGAGACAAGTGTGTAAAGAGCAGTTTTCTTATCACTCAAAAAGGTTGTCGAGTGTGTCTACAGGAGTGTTTTTGCAGCTTGAAAAGACATCTCCAAAAAGGGCCCATACTCTGGATCTACTTGTGTTTTTATTTTTTATCCCAGTGAATTCAATGTTACATCAGACAGCTTGCTAACAGAAAATAAACATGTCCTTATGGATGTATTTGAGTGACTCTGGGCCAGTGCACGCTCGGTCCATGGGGAAGGTCACAGACATGTGACTCATTATGCAGGAAAGGAGTCCTTACAACACAGAAATGAGACCCTTATATAAGAAAAGGCATGAAGCGGGCAAAATAGGCTGGTGCTCTGCAAAAAAAAAAAAGAGCAAAGGACTGCTACTAAATTTAACTCTGCTTTAGTGATCGTGCAGTACGTGATTGTGCCACCCAGTCTCACAGCAAAATATGTAATAGCTACGTTGTGGATCGTGGTATTCTCACGCTTTCTCCCCAAAATCGTAACAATACTACGTTGTATTTTCGCCCATTCATTTACATTGCCTTGCAACTACGTCACTAGAAACTAATAAACGGAAGGTCTTCTACATTCTCTGATAGAAGATTATGAAAATTTAACACATACTTCTCACTAGAAATGCCATCGAAATGCATACAAATGCTGATGCTTTCTTAAAATATTGTGTTTTTCACAGATAATAGACAGACACTCCGCCATTTTCTTTTTTTAGCTGAGGGAAACTTGATAATTACGTGACCTGGTTGCAACTAAAACATTGTATTGTCACGCTTTCACCCCAAAAGCGTGACAATACAACGTTGGTCCACAACGTAGCTATTACACGTTTTGCTGTGAGACTGGGTTGGATTGTGACTTAACAATAGAACATGTCTACTTACATTTGTGAGACAGGAGATGATCAAACGATTCTGACCATCGAACGACCTCATCCGTTGATACTCTGACGGAGAGAAGACAAAGCACACTGCCTGAGTATGATGTAATTGTAATGTGATTGTTTTTAACACAATGGTACTGTATGTATTTTTGAAGAGCATTAGAATTTGCTGTATGATTTCTCATCTACTCAAAAGGCTTTCATGTAATTGTAATAGCTGGTTCAATTTAGAGAATGATGAGGAAGGAGATGAGATAGAAGAAGAACATTAGCTGCACATTTTAATGCTTTTATGAAGTGGTGAATACGTAATAGGTATAACAGTCTCATGGAGATTAGAGGGATGAATTAACATTATTGTACCACTCCATCATTGGAACGTTAGGCTGAACAGGAAGCACATTCTCGTCAACATAAAAGCTCATACAATGTCGCTTAATAATGTCAGACCTGCCCCAAGTTTCTCTGGAAAGGTTGGTATGCAGTTTCATGCACGGGCATATTGTTAGATTACTCTGTAACACTGACAAATTAAAAGTAAATGTTTTTTTGTTGAATACACATTACAATGGCCCTGTTCACTGTCAAATAACTAAAAAGTAAAAGTAAAAAATTGTACCACTCTTTAGCGCAATAAACAACACAGGGTTGAATTGCTCAAAAGGATACATTGGACATCACAATAAATATTCAAATCGGGGAGAAGACTCTTGAATGTAGTTTCACAATGTGTGCAAACGTTGGACACCAGGTGAGGAGTTAAGAGGCACAGGATTTGTTGGCAGACTCACTTCAGACACCTGGCAGTGGTTTCGTGCGCGGGAGGCAGGAACTCAGAGAAGTCGCTGTAGGAGTCAGATTTGTTGGACAGGCAGCCTAATCGGGTTTTCATGGTGCCGGTCCTGCTGAAGAAAAGACACAGTGCTTCGTATCACATTTGTATGTTTTTCAATCCAAAACACGTGTTATTCAAAATGTTTACTCATATGAAGATAGTTTAATTAATCGGCAACTTCTAATAGGAAGTAGAAGGCATCACAGTGGCGTCACCCAGTACCACCAAACCTTTTCACCAAACGTATTAAGCGTATCTGAACCCAAAGTACAACCGTGAAACAGCAACACTGCTTGGCATTTCTACTAAGATCATAATTCAAAGGGCTCGTTATCAACAAATCATTAAATGCATTTTAATTGTAAGGTCAGCAGCATCAAGAACACAACGGTTACTTAATCCTATCCTCATGATTCATGCTGTTTGTTAAATATTTAGCTCATGTACAAGTTCTAAAATGTTGTTGGTAGACCCGATAATGCAACTAAAATAGGAGGCGGAGAGATAAGGCCGACTGACAGGACTGAAGGTGGACAACAGGTGCTACTCCATATGCAAGAAGCCGAACAGTATGCCTCACTCAGAAGGGAACTTCAAACATCCCCCGATATTAAAATTCACACCCTGGTTAAGTCTGTCCGTAAGTGTGCACATATAAAGAAACCTTTCTACGTAACAATTCATAACCATAGCAGAGTTTGATTGACAGGACGGCCTCTGACTATCTCACCAACACTATCCAGCTTGCATGAACTTATAATATGCTTTGCAGCTCTGTGCTTGCCATATTATGCTTTTTACAGATGACGTACGCATCACCTATCATTGTGATAGAACACTGCCCACCAACATCTAGAATTAACACAACATTATTCATGTTGTTGCTTATGTAGAAATGATGACATTTTAAGTATGAATATTCTTTAAGATGGCCATTAATCGTTGCTATTCCTATTTTTTATTTACTAATCTAAAATCTGAGAATGAGATATAGAAGACAACCACATGCTCTTCTTTCATCCCAATCTGTCCAATTGTATTATTACACTGCTGCTTCCATGTACTTTCTGCCAATGTTCTCCCTCCGGGACACATTGGTCTCTCCAGATGGGGCAGCCTTGCATCACAGGCCAAATATTTGCGTATAAGTAGGTTATTTCCAAGGGACACATTAATGATCAAAGGGCCATTACAAAGGATATAACAAAATAATGAGAAAATCAATTCTGCTTCAGCCCCATTTTGATATCATTAGGCCTTTTACAATAGACTCCTTAGAAAAACAAGATGTTAATTACTGATCTGTAGATGTGTTTCATACCTCGGTTCAGCTACATAGTGTTTTAGTCTTAGTCTCATTTGACGGGATAAACATTTCCTCAAGGTATGAAAGTATTCATTTAATAGAGCATTGACAACTAGCTATATATTTAACCTCAGCCAAATTATCTCCTAGCGATCAAGATCTCTGAGAGACCCGAGTACGGCGGAGAAAAAGAACAAACATACAAACATGCTAGACAAAAAAACATAGCCAGATTAAAAATAAAGAACATAGAAAGAAAAGAAGACATAACATAAAACACACAGAATCAGTAACTATTTGACAACAATTTCACACTGGATGTAATAAATAAGTGGAATGAAATGAAATATCCTAAATCCTGTCCAACTCATTAGATATATACAGTTGAAGTTTATGCGTAAATTGAGTGAGAGCGACTAGACAGGCCGGTGCCTTTCCCGCGTTGCCTCTTCTGTCATCGTGCGTACGCAGATTGGGGGCGGGCTCGTTGGGTGCTAGCCAACTAGACGGAGGCCCCGTTTCCGTAAACCAATCGTATTGCGGCTGTGCAACGTTAAAAGCTGATTTCCTCTCTGTTGCCGTCAGTTGTCATTGCAGCATCAAAGGTAACCCTGCAGCGCCCCCGACAATCACCAGCAAAACCAGGCATATCGGAGAATTGGAGCAACTTATTCTCTACCACCAGTCAGTGGACTCCAATCTCGGCATCCCGACCCCCGGTCTGTCCTACGCCAGGATGGAATCCAAGCCCCAAGAACTTGGCTCTGTAAATGTTTATAACTGTGTAAATACATTGTTAAAAGTTGAACACATTTCTCCTGATTGAAATGTAGTGGAGGCACTATTTCCTCGTTCAGTGTTTATCCGAGGGGGATCTTACATTTTGTGACAGGTCTGTTATGCAGTAAGTTTCCGCTTTATTTAAATAGACAGTGATGAGCTGAACTTAAACAACATGCATCTGTTTTCATACCATTCAACCTTCTGTTCATAGTACATAGTGTTTCTCTCAATGCCGTAGTAGAGAACAGTGAATTGTTTTGATGCATAAACCTTTTAATTGGGAAAATTGGACAAAATGCACTTTTCAGAAGCCACACAAAGCAATTGGCTTAAATGAATCAAAATCGATCCACCACATGAATGCTAAAGCTCTTGAAATATTCTTTGTGTCCTATATCTTCTGAAGACATTTTGTGAATTGTGTGTGAGACCCAAAACACAAATGAGAAACGGTCTAAGAAATCAGGATTCTGATATTACATTAGAGTTAAAACTAGACGGTGTTCTGCTTTCATCCCGCTCCTTTACTAGAGGGTTGATTAGAGCAGTGTTTGCATCTAAAAATTTAATAAACAACCAAAAAGGAAACCTGCCACAGCAATTATTTGGGCATTACTGGAGAGTGTTTGACATTTTTGTTCTAAAGCTTTTCCAACCGATCAAGCAACACACTGAAGTGTTTGTAATGCACCCTAGATGTGTTGCTGTCTGCCCCAGAAACCGCTATGCTGTGTATCAGATGTTATACACGCACGCACGCCGTGGCCTGGAAGGGTTGTTTATCATCTATGGGAGTCATAATCTCAAGGTACACTTCATTTGCTAATGTAGAGTTATTTCAGAGCTGATTAATACACATTTTAGTGTAGACCATGAATACACGATGAGTTTGATGTTCACCAGTGAGGGTTCAGGTAGAAGTCAGAAGGATGTGGAGGATGAAATGCACATTGAAGTTAATAAATTCACACAATTTTACAGGCTATTCCTCTGAAAAGCATAAATGTGCCAACAACACAAGGCACCCATAACAGTGTAACATACTAAACGCAAGGGAAATATTGGTGCAAGGGTATATCCTCTGGGGAGCATGCAGCTCATGCAATTTTATATAACAAATAACACATGACTTGTTACTTGTCTTGCTACCTTAAAAACTGAAATTCTACCACAGCGTTATTTATGTCCTTGTCTTCCAAGCGGTGTACTGCCTGGATCGTATAATGAGAGCCATAGTAGGTAAACATTTGGGAGATTTAATGAAAGTCTTAATGCATCAACACACTGCAATGGATGCTTTGAATTTTGTATGAAATATTTATTTTAGTACATTTGTTCTCAGTCGCAAGACGAAACCCGCCTTCAACAATCTATTTGGGTGCAAATTGAATGCACGTTAGTCTGTACTTATTTACAGGAGACAAAAGTCATCAAGTGAAGTTGATGAGACGTGAAGATATTGATGAATCAATTTAGCATGTGCCATAATGTAAATAACATGATACAATCCCCCCCCCCCTCCAAGTAATGTCTTGCTTGACAAAATCTATAGTTCCCTGACTGTTGTGAGCTACATTCTTCGTCTGCAGTATGGTGCAGACACGTGCTGCCGCTGAGCTATTTATAAAACCCCTGACAAATGCATGTAGTCAGGAGGATGCAGTGCATGTTCTATTCAGCCAATGCAGCCGGGCCGGCTCCTGGAGGAAAAAAGCTGAAAAAAAGCAGCAAGAGGCACTTCAATCTCTCAGATATGCACAAGTGCACATCATGCAACTAAACATCTGCTAGACCTGTGATGTCTGATATGCCTGTTGGGGTTGCTGGGCTAAGAAGTAGAAATCTAAATAAGGGAAACATCTTCTGATGTTACCTAATTTGGTGCAATGCAGATTTTCCGATTTCCCCTCAGTTTCCCTAATTCTAGACGCTGACAGACACAACACTTGTATGGCAATGTATTAGTTGACATTCTGTAAGTGATTATGAAGCAGGGTTCGTACGTTGAGATTATATTCATCACACGCATATACGTGCACATTAGTGGAAGTATGATAAATTGTGCACGCATGCTGAAGCCCACATATTTGCAGTGAAGTGAACTGTAAAAGCACACGTGAATCTCGCGTCGCATCTCTCCTCTCATGCCTCCTCCAGTGCAACTTTCTAAGATGAATTCATTGATTCGAAAGGTTGCACACGATTACAGCAGATCACGTTTTTTTTCTCTCTCAAATCTGGGTCAATCTTCAAAACACAAATCATGCGGTTTTTCGATAGCTCTTTATCCTCGTAATAGAGTTCTGTTACAGTACTTGTATTTTACCTTTTTTTAAATACGAAAACACTGCTACGACTAGCACTGTGTTTAGTAGCACTCGTGCTAACCAAAGTATCAACAGCTAAAATGATTACTAATAAGAAAATTCACCAATGTTTATGAATGTCTATATGTCCACAACAAACCATACTTTCCCACGGCCTCACTTATTGGGAGCCATCTCTGAGATAATCAATACTTGATTCTAGTTCATCAATTCACTCCCTCACTCAAGAGTCAGACTCTCTGTCCCCAAACTCACTTCTTCAAACATTAAAATAGGATCATTTGCCTGTCAATCTGTGGCCTTCTTGTTCTTATTTGTTATAAGGGAACTCCGGCTTTGCGTCTTGCCTTTGCCCCCCTTTGGATTTTGTTAATATTCTTGTTTACGCTTTAATAGAACATAAAATAGGATATTGACATTCCACATTTGTATGACCTTTGCAGTACAACGCAAGCATGGCCTACCAAGCACAAGCATTTAGCTGATAGATGACCCCATTCTTTAAAGACAACTACCACAATCTTTGACATAAGACTTCAGTGCTGGAAAGAGATAAGAGAAACGATGAATGAACTATGAAGGAACAACACTTTAAAGTTGACTCAACAGTGCACAAGTGTTGAAAGCATTCCGCTACTCGGGAGTTGCTTTTTGAGTCAATTGGGAGCTGTTAAGAGTCAGCAAAGTTAAAATAATCAAGGTGTACTGTCATGGACTCAAACCTGAAGTTGGACTGCTTCAGTAGAAAGAAAAGTCAGCAAACTTGCATCTTAATACTAGAATATTTATACAATAGGATATTACAGGATTTGTTTCTTAGGCTAATTTGCATCATGACTTCAGTTATGACATGTCTACACTGGATTTCTCATCAAACTTAAATGAAACCAGTCCTTTCAGTTTGATTTCATTACATAATTTCTTGCATGGCAACTTTAATATTGCAGTTTATACATTTTGTTTTATTCTCTGGAATTTGATGGATGTCTTTGATTTTAGGTTGTTCTGTCTTTTTGCAGTTTTATGTTTTTATGATCAACTGCATGAATTAGAATGACAGGTTGTCTGTTATCCCGTGTTTGTCTGCAAGTGACAAACACGGGATTACAGCAGCAGCCACTGTGGACAAACTGCTATGAGCCATAAGTAACAATCACATCTACGCCCGGTCGAACATTGTGGGAGAATCTCCCCACCAGAATATATTTTCAATGCCAACAACACACGTCTTGCGGTATTTCCTGTTTTTTCTCCAGTTATCCTTAAAAAAAAAATTGTATAAAGCTGATGTGGAGGACCCAGATGCAAGATGATGCAGGCAGTGGATTCCAGAAATGCCTCATAGACGTCAAGTTGTGCCCTTCTTGTATTACGTTTTGTCCTCTCTATGTACCCCAGGAAGATTAGTGGCCGCTAAAAGGGTTCCAGTTAATAAACGAGACACAAAGCACAGTCGGAAGCTGCCTCCTGGAACATGGCAGACGGGAAACAGGTGGGGGGGGTCGGGGACAGAAGGCTGTGGCTGTTTTCTCACGCAAGGCGGAGGAGCCCAGACGGACGGGAACGGGAAACCAGTTGGAGGGTAAATGCTGGGAAAGCTTGGCACAACGTGGAGAAGAATCTGGCAGCGAGCGAGTGAGTGACTGGGCTTTAAACACTGAAGGGGTGCAGGAGGGCAGACAGGTGAGTGATTGGGCAGACAGGTGAGTTTGATTGACCTGATGAGGTGGATGTGACTGGCAGGTGCACTGAATAAACTGATGACACAGTAGCGGGAGCAGGGGGGGGCTGAACTGTGAGAGGCAGTTTGAAATAATTGTGCTGTGGTGGTATTCCCATAAATTATTTTCCCCCATTTACTAGGTTTCTATATTCAAAATAAACATAAAAAAAACCCTGTGCACTCCTCTCATACGGCTGATAACGCCGGCCCACACCGGTGGCGTTGCGGTAGGTTTAGCGCATGTATACGCGCTGTTGGTAGTATTTGCGTTAGCAACAGATGCTATAGCAACACCCTTAGCAACAGAGTTGCTGGCTCAGACTTTGCCGTCAATTCTACATTTAGTACCTTTTTAAAACCTTGGACAAATATATTGAATATTCTCTGATACTTCTCATGTTCCACAAAACCGTGAAACCTCTCACTCCTCTGAGGCCTTTTGTTATGACACCCGACCACGTGTCGCACAAGAGTCTGATAGGTCAACCTGGGATACAGCAAGCTCGGGGCTTTTCGGCACATAACACCCTCATTCCATTTTCATCTACTTCTTACACAGAGGTACACTCACGTACGGGTAGATTAACGTCAATCGCTCGCCTCGCAGGCCCTCCTCTGTCTATTTATTTCGTATCAACTTAATCTCTGTCCAGTTCACCAACGTCAGCAGATTATAATTTAATCTCCGAAAGAATAGAAGCGCCCTGTGCAAGCCGGCAGCTCAACAAATATCACAGTGTTCATAGTTTTCTATTCTCTACACAGAGTTAAACTGGATTAATGTTGAATGGGTTTTTCTTTTGCCACATTCTTGCATTGACAAACATGTCGGCTTTTGTAACATTGTTCGTATTTCACTCGTTAATATAATTTACCTCACACTATATTTATTTGCATTGCACTTTCCATTGTGGTTTTGAAATTAGCTTGGACCAAGGAAAAGAAATTAGTTGTATCGAGGCGTGCTATTCAGATGAAAAGGGTGTTAGTCCTTCCTATAGACCAGCGATTCCCAAAGTGTGGGCCGCGAAGGTACTGCAGGTGGGCATTTACAATAAATAAAGTTTTTTAATTTTCAATTTTTAAAAGTTTGAAATTAATATAAAAATATGTATGATGCGGCACATTAGTTATGCAAAACATTAGTTGATGAAGCACAAACAATTTAAACGGACAGATTAATAAAACAATAAGGCTCTTGCTCGAAACGGCTGCTCTTGTCCGCCTGTCGTTGTTCAACAAACGGAGCGCCCTCTTTTAGTATTGATGTCAATATACCCCATTTTCCGCACTCCAAGGCGCACTTAAAAGGCTTTAATTTTCTCAAAAAACGACAGCGCCTTATAATCCGGAGCGCCTTATATATATGGATCAATTGGTTAATCGGTTGATCCATACTGGTTGTACACGGCGCTCAAGGCGCTCTGCCAAACACGCCAAAGCTCGTCTACGACGGCGAGATGCTAAGCGGCGCTCAAGCGCGTGAGATATGGAGCTTGTTTCAGGGCGCGTCGGAGAAACAGAGCTGTCGTTCTCTTCGAGCACTTCATGAGATTAAAGAGCGAGAGACGGCGCCCTTTTCTCTACAGTAGCTGAACCATCTTAACGGGGAAAATAAGTTATTCTAAAAGCAGCCGAAGATTTAAGGCGTGGATGGCGAGGGGGGCGGCGGGAGCGGATGCACCTTGCGGCATCGATTGGACCCTGAAAGCACCGTCTCTACCTTACTGTCAAAAAAAACAACAGCGAGCGCGTAGAAAACTCCCTCGAGCGCGAGCAGAGATTCTCCTCGCGAGCAACGAAGTTCACGTTTCGCAAGCGAGCAAATACCTCGCGGAGACGGACTTTTGCTCGCGGATGTTTGATTTTGGTTAAATTCTTAAGGTCATTTAATCATTATGTTTTGATCAGAGTTGTGATTAAAGGTTTGGGTGGGCCGCGAAAGATTTTCAGATTTCAAAGTGGGCCGCGGCATTCTTGAGTTTGGGAACCGCTGCTTTAGACTTCTACTTTCTATATTTTGTACACAGGCTAAATTTTTTGATGGTAATTCTTTTGAAACTCTGAAATTGTATGAAAATTAACCCTGAATATATATACGCTCATGATAAAGAATGGACGTAACTGACCAAATACCACTTATACTACTACTATACTTATTTTCACTGAGGTGACAGCCTCATTTAAATATGTAAGCAGCTGGTTTGAGTAGCCAGCAAGTCTAGACTGATGTAGTGTGTAATCTGACATATATTTGGTCTAGTCTGTTAGGGAAAACATTTGGGGGCATTTGGGCAACATTGTCAATTAAGTATTTACTTGATAAATAGCTACTGATGAAGATTACATGAGCTTTTGCGCTCAAATACCATTCGTTCAGCTTGCGCGACAACAACGAGCAAAGCCGAGCAGTGACATGATCTGTTGTTGCAGGAGGGTTACAATATTTTAAACAACTATTTAATAATAAAAAACACAGTGCTAGCCAGTTATCTGATCACATTAGATGTTTCACCAAATTGGGTGTAGTTTAATCATCAACAATTAACAGATCAAAATAGGGATTCATTTGCAGATCTTTCCGCTGTCAATTCAATATTCACTATTCAATCCCTTTTGTTCTGTTTACAAACCCCTCCGATTCTTAACCCTTGATCAAGTTCACCAGCCCATCTCAAAGTGTTTTGTGTGCTGTTCAGTTGCGAAGAATAAGTGAGAAGATCGTTGAGACATGCTACAGAAGTAAGATCAGGGTGCAGCGTGAGCAGCTTGGTCATCTGCTGAAGGCAACACAATCCTGCTACCAGAACCGGTAATGCTCACAACTGAACAATTAAAAAGATGTCATAGGTGTCCTGGTCAATGAAACAAAAAGGTGGGGCAAATAGAAGCAGAAGCTTTCAAAATTGACCCCCAACTCTTATGAGCGGTTTTGAATGCACAACGTGAGTTTGCACTTGTGCTTCAATGCCCTTCTCCACCTTTCAAAACTTTGATAAGTGGCATTCACCGGAGTAAACAGCCACCAGAGCTTTTTGCATCAAGGGAGGGAAGTTGGGAAATGATTTTCAGTGTTGCTCACGAGAAATACTCGAGGTACAAGCATGCGTGAATGAGGGCGATCACGTCGGCAGGAATCTGAACATGCAACCAAATAGAAATAACACAAGCAGGCACATAATTAGCTGGAAAAATGGAATATGACACTCCTGTATAGAGCTAGCATTTCTCTCCTCCAGTAGTTTAATAAAATGTTTCCATTATTCCTCATTGATGCCAAATCACTTAATCCGTGTTTTCATTGATGTAACAACAAGCTTTTCAAAGCAAATTATATTCAACCCGGTGAACCGTTTAGAATGACAATGACCCACCCAGTGCCGAGAGCTCTTTGTCCACAGCAAAATTACATAACACTGTCATCCAATGAATTTAAATATGGATCCTTTACCTTGAGCCTGCTGTGTGCGAGAGATGCTGGACTCTTTCTCCCCTTCTTATTTATCGCTGCAGCGTGTGTTTTGGCAAAATTCAGCCTCCGTCTAGCAAACGCTGGTGTGTATTTGTATGAATCTGCAGAGCTGAAGATGTCTAGTGTTTGTGATGCCAGAGAGTGGAAGCTACACGGCATGCTCATTGGTGTGAAATCACAGGGGGGGAGAGAGAGGGAAGCAGAGACGGATAGAGGGAGAGGCAGAGGGGGGTGAGGGTGGGGGGGATCAGAGAGATGAAGGGGGGAAAGGGCTTTGTTTGCACAGGAAAATCTCTAGGGACAACCTGAACACATCTGTGAAGTGGAGAAGTGCTGTTCAGTGATGTTGCGTTTGAAGTGTTGCAAGCGTAAATGTGTAGTGCAGGAGGCGTGACGGGGGCAGGATGAAGAGGTCTGGAGGATGGCTGTTAAGGGCTTGAGTTCCGGAATGAGATTGTACCTAATAACCCCAAAAGAAAACTAAACTAAATACATGTTTGCTTTCATTTTGTGCTGAACGAATGCAATGCATTTACTGGATCCGGCTTCGTAAAAAAATGTATATTTTAACTCTTAAATCGTTTGAAGATGCGCTATATAACATTGCATGATGACGTTAATTGTTTGAGCATGTCACAGAAAAAGCCAAGGGGAAGAATAGCGTTAAAGAGGACTAGATCATCAGGTAAGACTGAGTGCTCCGTAGATGATTTTTTGCTATGAAGCTCAGACCACAGCAGATTCACCACCATGCCATATGCATCGGTGTGCACTCACGTTAACACAGCATCTACAGTGCACACATGCAAACTAGCTCTCAATATAACACCAATGCTCTTTCTGGTAGCGCCATGCAAATTGATTCTCACCAAAGTATCTCTAATTAATTATTGCATATACACAAACACAGGCAAAACACACAGGAGTTATGGTTACACCTTTTATTCATAGAAAAATCATATTGAAAATGATATTTTAGCATTAGAAAGCATGGATTGAAGACTCGAGTGCAAAGCATTTATCTTGCAATCTTGAGAGGAAGATATGATCGGCAAGGAGCTGGGAGTGTGGAGGAGGCAGGCCGGCAGAGGACAAATTATTCCTGCTACTGAACAGACAAGCAAGTGTTACATAAAATCACTCACACACAAACACACAGAACCATGCAAGACACTGCCTACACACACGTTTTAAGTTTTTCCCCTTTCATTTGACACTCAAAAACACATTTGCAGCACTCTGATAGGTGTGGTGGAATTATAAAATGAGTTTAATCATTAACAACATCATTATCACTAGAGTACAAGGTTTCACGCAGTCCTCCAGGCAGCTGTGGTTTACATAATCAACTTGAGAATCTAAATCGTAAGAAAAAAAACAAACATTTAGTGCACTTTCAGTCAGGAATAACGCTAATGGAAATAGCGGTTTAAAATGAAGTCACTTCCTGTTGCACTTTGCAATACTGACAAACAAATGACAATTGTCTATTGTCTTGCACACTGTAACAAATTGCTGTAAATTTACGGTGCATTTCTAACGGTATCTTACAGTATGTTATAATAACTAACATACGGTTAAATTTCCATCCATTGCTTGTAAATTGACGGCCAATGTCATCAATAAACAGTTAAAGCTGTCAATTTACAATAATAGCCGACTACCGTAATTCAACTGCATGTTACATATATTTTATGAAGTGGTGGAAATACACATACATGTGCAGTGAATCACAATCCATCTACATCTGTTGTAGGTTAATGTATGGAAGCCCATGTCAGCCACTGAAAAACAGGTCCTGTAAGTCATCATAATGAGATATGAGTATGTCATGAGATACGTTGATGACTTTGACTTACAGGACATTACTATACATGCAGCTGTCACTTTTATTCAAAACGCCCATGGTTTGACATAATTTTATGTGGAGTAATTGGGGGTTAGGTCCCTTGCTCACGGACACTTCGACTTGGTACAGGGAGCAGCCAGGATTCAAACCACCAACCTTGTGCTGCACAGTACACCCTGCCTGTCCCATGCGCCGCCTTCGCTGTCGTTTCATTGGCCGGAATGTAAAGATTATAAATATTTGTATTATTCAAAGTGATCATTGCCTAAAAGTCATTTGAGTGTTAATCGTGACCGACTGCTCCTGAACGTGACGTCAGACGCGTAATCTCAGTTCATCCAGAACACCTGTGCAGTTCAACATCGGAGGAGTTTCTCATTGCCTCGTCTCTCCAAGTAATGTTGGTAAGTGTTATTTGTCTAGCATGATTAACATTCTCCTTCCTTACATCTTGTTGTCTTCCTCAACTTTGTAATTTGAATATTTTGTCATGACAGTGTTTCTAAACATTTTTTTTTTTTTTTTTTTACAGAAGCACTGGATTAAGGACGCCAGCCGTTTGCTGCGGTCAATTGAAAGTGTTCCGTAGCGTAATATTGCAGTTAGTTTACCTAGTTCCTAATGATTTTATGATTTATTTTTTTCTTATTGTGTACATGCGGCATATTTTATGTTTTGTTCTTGGTTACAAATGCCTAACATTTTTGTCTTAAAAGGCATCTAATAAACTCCAGCCACTATGACCGAAATGAGTTTGGTTGTCTTTCTTTAATTTGTGGAGAATTAAATGGTAACATTCTGGTATTTCTAACACAAAAACAGTAATTGTATGGTAACACACTGTAATCCAAATTACGACAACATACCATAAATTACGGTAGGGCACTATAAATAAAACAGTAAGTTACTAGCGTCGACTGCCAGTAAATTGCAGTTAATTCACAGTAAAATTGGTTCAAGTTTACGGTAACATACGGTAATCATTTTACGATAACAGTGTAAAAACTATTTACGGTATTATACCGTAAAATAACGGTAAATTCCTGGCGTCCTTGCTACCAGGAAAAATACCGTTAATTTACGGTGACATTTTTTAGAGTGCACCCTCCCGGGAACTCTTGCAGTTTGATTTATTGTTGTGCAGCAATGATCGGATATTTGTGTCACAGACCTTTTCAAACGAGGAGGCAAGATGCAAATATTCGCCCACGTAGTTGTTCAGAGATGTGTGACCTTCATGACGATGCAGATGCATGTACTGTTGCTTTTGCCCGTCATACACCATCCTTGTCCCTCACAGTCTCTCCAGGTGACTCATCGGAAATGTACCGGAAGCAAAGAATTCTGACGTCCTCACTTCATCCAGTAATTTGTCTTTCACATTGTCTGAAATAAAGCTCTGCTTGGCATTTCACACATATCAAAGGCCAATTGTTAAGATCTTAAGACGAGACAGAACATTTCATTTTCATTATTTTACTAAATGTTGGACATTTTAGCAGCAAGTCTGTCAGATGGTCCACCACTTTGAGCCAGGCTCAAAATGTATTGGATGGGTTGCCAGGACAATAACGGTCAGACAACCATGGGAAAAAAAAGGGTGAAGGGATGTCACACTACCCATGGTATGTGTTGATATTCCTAAATGATTGTCCATTATCGTTGCATCCGCCACTGTGTATTCATTTTGGTTTCTGATTTAGTTTGGTTTCACAGTTCACAAATTAAATTGGACCAAATAAAGAAACTAAATGTGTTGAGGGGTTTGTACTACAGTGCAAATATAACCTTTTTGTCTGTAGTTACGGAATTGAAGACAATAAAATATTACTATCAAAGATTTTTTATCGCTTCCTGCAATTTGGTTGGATCATATTCTCACTGCGACCCAAACCGCTGTAGGTTCCGCTTGGACCACTTATTTTGTTCCTAAACTTTTTTAGGCCACAGTTGACAAATGACGGGAAGACTAAATTGTTTTGATGGACTATTATTCTGAAATCCAAAAGGGAAAAAAATAAGAATTCTTCGAATTGTTTAATTTTCCAAATTTTTTCCTGGAGTTAAGTCATGGTAAGAATGAATCAGAAGACTTTAGAAAGCACCTAAGGGAATAGCTAATTGGTAGGAGGATCTTCAAGCGGCAGAAGGAGGGAAACAATGGTGGAAAAACAGGTTAGAATTTGCAGGGATAATTAGAGATAATCAGAGACGCTGAATGCACATTAGTGCATTAATCAGAACTGAATGCATCAGAGGAAGTTGTCTGAAGTCCTTGTGTGCCCCGTTGCTGAACAACATTTTAGTAACTGGGTAGACCTGCACCTGTTGCAAAGGGGCGGAAAATTTGCAGTAAATTTCCGAAAGGTTTCCGGAAAGATAGGAGTGAGAGTAGGATGTATGTATGTAAACACAAAAGTACACCTTCGCCTCAATTCCTTAGACAAAACATTTGCTGATATTATTTATGTGAAGACCATGAAGTGAACCTCTCTAGATGAAAGGGACTGTTTCATGTTACAATAGAGAAAAAAAAAATCTCTCTCTCATATATATATATATATATATATATATAATCAGGTGGGTGGCTTGCTCAACGTTGATAGTGAGTTACTAGGTGGATGATTATGAATCTGCTTCCTTACTTACATGCTCTTACTTACTTCTTACAATACCGTACAGTGTCTACCGCTTACGGAAAGACTAGATTTATTTTCTCGCTGCTACCCGCGGGTTGAGGAAACACTCAGTTTTTTCAAGCAGGGGAAATTTTGTATTTATTGAATTTAACATAACATAAAAGCTGTCTCGCTCTCTCTCAGGATGAAGCGTGATTAGGTAACAAGCTGTGCCAATTAAGCTCATCATGGCCCCGCTCCGACCTTGCAGCCAGGCACCAACTATGCCCATTACCACAACGTGAAAACCTGAATTAAGCAGGGTTTTTTTTTTTTTCAACTCCACTTCAAATCAGTTCCAGGAACTGTTTCTCTCAGGGAGGCATATTACCACAAGAGGGGACATTGTGACCTGTCACAGCCGGAAAAGCACAAGTGTGAATAATGAAGTTAATGATGACTGAACATCCTTTTGGATTCAGTTGTGGGAATGTCGACTCGGTGTCACGCTGCCATGGCTCACTGTGACATTTATGTAAAACACAAACCTATTGTTATTGTTTTTATTAACCGTTGAACTTTTTACACTCTGATGGGTCAACATGTCTGCTCTTTGTTAATCCTTGTTAATGGGACATATCTTGAAGGAAAACCTTTACAGCTGAAGTTAATTTAAACAAGACTCTCTATGCTCAGTGACACGCTGACGATAAATACGTTTAATATGTATGACTTCCCCCATCCTGGTTTACCGCTTGCTAATTAGCACTGGACACAAAGTGCAGCTGGATTTTGACCTTAAAGCAGCTGTAGATGAGACGGTAACGGGATCAGCAGTGTGATTACAATCCACCTTTATTGTGATGGTTCCCTGCCGTATCGTTTGTGTGTTTGTGTATGTCCCTTTTTAATAGCAGGTTCCCGGAGAGTGCTAACTGGAGACAGCTGAGCTCGGTGCTCCAGTTTAAAGCTCCGCCTTCCTGGCAACTTTACGGTTGATCACCATGTGCCTCGTCGCAACCGCGTGTGGATCATCCTGCATGTGAATAAACATGTGCAGTGTCTGCCTCTCCCTCGTTGGGTCATGGCTGTCAGAGCCAGGTCGTGACATTATGGAAACATAAACGTCTCTACAAAATGTCATTTGCAATCCAGCTGGCGGCTGCTGAGACGTTTTAGTGTAAACCAAACACTACATTTGCATCCATAGAGCCATGCAGCTGGCATTGTTGTGCGGCCACGTGTCTACGCACTTCCCTACAAACTTGTACAACATCACAACCACTTGACCTCTGTGGCCTGGCCTCTCACAAGTGTTCTGAGACATGGTTCAAAAGTTATGAAACGGGGCGTTGCTCAGGCACATGAGGGCGGATCCAAACCAACGATTGAGCCGAGGTACTGATGATGCTGAAAGCTAACTTCATTTTAAAAGACAAAATAATGTTAAAGGGCGGGAAGTGACACATAATTGCTGAAATGTCCAAAACTGCCACTAGAAATAATTACCAGGATTATCTTTCACCCATAGAAAAAAAGAACAAAACCATACATTTTGCATGAGGCTCAAGCTCACACATGAATGCATACATTTTAACACCATCATTTGCTGTTGGACTAGATCACTCCTCCGTTTTAACCAACAAAGAAATAAGAAATATACATTTTCTGTTTGATGTTGACTGATACATTCATGACTCATTACGTAATTTGGAAGGTAAACATGATATTGTTGCATGTAGGTGTTTTAAATATTCATCCCTAGGAAAACCAAAGGACTTATCAATATATTAATAATGATGAGTGGACACGCATGCAACGTGCCAGCTCGTTTCATCCATTCGCCGCCCCTGGTATCCACCTTGCGATCTTAATTATTTACTGTTTTAATTATGAATTATAGGTCAGACGTGACTGCACATTTATCATCAAACCACAGAAAGGGGGGTAATTTCCATTTTTTTCAGTCAGCCTGACTGGTTTGTGGTGTCACCCATGAATGAGCACAGAAAGTGTTGATTTGGCTAATATCATGAACATAAACATGCAGAGCTACAGCATCCGATTTACGTACCACTTGCTGAGAATCACAGCACTGAACTGATTATAACAAGGTTGCTTTTCCAAGTAGTATGATGATTACGGCACATGATTTACCTCTACTCCCTGGAAATAGACATTAATGCAAGCACTTTGCTTCATATGTATAATAAAAGCGGTCATACACATACAAATACATCAGCCGTATGGAGCAGACTCTAGACCTGTTTGAACAAAGCCAAGCCTTAAAAACTAAGTGGGTCTGTTACCTGGCAACTACAGTACGTGTTGCTCGAAGATATTCTTCCTGATGCCCCTTGTAGTGCTTCTCATTCACCACATTGAACTCATGTTGTCAGTGTCAAAACATCAACGGTAAACTTTAGGGCATTTAGAGGAGTAAATAGTGAACGATGCGCTCTGGACTGATGGTGGTGGCTTATTAGAGACATTTACACATAGTTTTACAAGAACATACAAAAGAAATAAAAAAAAGAATAAAGATTTCATCATGTCAACTGGATTCTTAACTTTGGATGTTCACATATTCTGGCATTAGATATATTTACTTTAAAAATATGTGTGCAGTTTTAACAAATCTATGTGTTAAGATTAAACCCACACAGACCTGCAATGTCGTGGTGTTTCTTGTTTTACATTTTGCATGTAGTGTCCTCTGGTGGCAACATTTAAGGATTGCACTTTAACAATTTCTTTAACAGCATCTGTAGAAGCAATAAATGTCTTCCTAATGCTGACGGACTGATGACTCCACCGCAACAAATAGCTCGACGTACATGCAAGTAAGGATCTCCAAACTTCTGTTTATGTAGCTGCTGTCATAAATCATGACTATTTTTAATAAATGAAAATAACAACTTGGTCTTCACAGCCGGGAGCCCTCTGGCAGGTTGGTGTCCCTCTGTCTGGTCGCCTCCAGCAGGACGCTTCACGTGGAGGACCGTACACACACCTCTGACTGTGAACAGCAGGGAAATGGCAACAAAAAGAACGAGGCGTAGATGAGGAACTGAAAAGACATGAGAGGTTCACTTGAAGTGCGGAAGATGACTGTAAATCAAATAACAAATTAATTCTCTTCTCTTTTGATCCTTCTCCCTCTGTGCGTTCATTAAAGACCCTTCAAATCGGATCATTTATTTCTGAGGGCATGTAATCAGCACTCGTAATTGTTTTATGTCATTTATTCAAGCTCAACTAGAAGGTCTCCATATTTCAATCATTAAGTTTGCACGAGTAGATATGCTATTTTCAATGTGTTTAATGAGTATAAATTGTCTCCAGAGCTCAAAGTGTGATCTGTGAGTACTGCAGTACCTGCAAGGTGATGGTGAGCTGTAGATACGCTTTGGAGGATTGTGCCCACAAAGCCGTTCATGCACTAACGCATAGCACTCCCTGTTCAGCCTCTCTGAAAACTAGGAAAAACATGATAGTTCTGGTACTACTTTAATTGACGTAGAAACTTACAGGGGTATCAACTGGACCTCGAATATAGAATAATCTCGTATTGAAAAATAAATCTAACATTGGTGATATGAGCTAAATACAAAAGTCAACATGCAATTATCTTAAATCACAATGTTAACATGCAGTTTGTATTAAGCATGTTCACCATCCTATTTGAGGGTTTTAAGTGTGCTGGATTTGACTAATTTATTACAATTTAGTACAGCTGAGAGCTACAGAGATGGAAATAATTGTTTTGCATCATTTTAGTCACAGGCAACGTTTCAGCAAATTCAAATTAAACTTGATTGACAGACCCTGATTGCGTCCATTTCCAGTCTATTATTCCAAAAGGGACATTTCACTCAAAACCACAAGTTTCAAGCACAGTAAGCCATCAGAGGAATAGTTAGTGCACCACCAAAGACATCAGGGTACATCGTCTGGAACCATGAACGACCATTGCTTATTAGATGTTGAGATATTTTGAAAGGTAGATTATAAGTAAAAAGCTTGATTAAGCATTAATAAACCATCGGCACTAGGATTCACCTTACGAAGACACTGTTATATGTATCAAATTCCAATGCACACTGCCCAAAGACACTTTCGCTAAATATTAAATTATAATTAGTCCGTATTATTATTCTTACACGCAACAGAGATTATACAATCTTTTTTTTATATTCAGTTTGGTTGACTATCACCCTTTTGATGAAACATTATTTGACTAGTTAGATGCGAGTGTCATAAAGATAAAAATGAAGGGAAATGTCACAAGTTGAAAACCACCATAGTGCTTTTATCTTTTGTTTTGAGTGGCAATCGTCCCATGTTGTGCTCAGGGTGAAAATGTTAGCACAGCCTGATCTAAAATTACTTGTGAAACTAGAAATAAAATGTGCGCCAACCTGCACAAAGCGATTTTATATTAACTTTTGAAATAACAGCATTATTTCAGTTAGGCTGATGCATTTCGAGGGTTAGAATACTCTCCACTAGCCACAGAACCATTATAGCGTGCAGCAAAACTAGACAACACAATCCATCTGTCTGCTGTCATCCATCTCTCTGCTGTCATATTCATATTCAGCAGCACCTGTACATGTATCTCACGTGCAGATGGTGGAAAGCTGCCTGGCCGGTTTTGAAGAGGAAGAAGCACAAGTATCTTATCCAGATGTCGGATCCATAAGGAATACAGTCCTGGCCATCAGGAATGTGAAACCTCCCAGAACCAGTTCCCCCCCCACACTGACCACTGCAGAGACATGCGGCCCACAGCAACCGTGGCTGCAGCTCCTAAAATAGAACACAACTGGGTTACTTGATGAATCTCTGAAATTTAGTTTAGTTCTTTCCAACAAAAAAAAAAATCCATTTTGTCTAGATAAAATAATGACAATCTCTAGCAACAAGAAACACATTATAGATGACAGCATTATAGATTTTGGAAAGGGACATTTCTCATTTCAACCACAAGGTGGCGCAGTGGAGCACAGACACACACTTACAGGTGCAGTGTGTGTCTTTATCCCTGTGGATGGACGGAGAGTCGCGGGCTCCAGTGGCTCTTTGAAGCATTTTATTATAGAACAATCGTTTCCCCCCCGCACACTCTCCATCTCTCTCATCACTTTAGCTTGCAATATAGTCATCACATCGTCAACTATCACTTTCATATTGAACAGCTGGAGATTAAATAAAAACTCTCGTTAACTCTGAGAGTTAAAAGGTAAAACCAACACCATGGATCTCTTCACTCTGCGCTATTGGAGTCCTTCTCCATTCATGATCAATAGGTGCTAATAGTCCAACGTGGACTCCACTGAAGCTGGTGTGTATTTAAGGTATACTTGATCAATCCCCGGGCGCTGATTAGCGAGGGAGGTCAAATGGAGATTGAACAGTTGGACCAGTTTCCTCAGCAGTGTCCGATGGAGGCTTAGCCAGCGGGAGCCAGCTGTTCAGCTTCATAGAGAGGAATCAATAATGCAGCTGGGCTCAATAGTATGTTTAAAATAATCTCAGATTAATTAGATGAATTGCATGACTCATGCTTGAGCCTTTTTATAAGACAGCAATAGTAAGTAACAGATCTTGAATGTGCAAGGCTTACCAAAGGTATTAGGATACATTCTCAGATATCTCCACCAACTCACACAGCAACATTAAATATAACATATTGAGATGTTTGGTCTGCCTTGAAGATGTGAGCAGACTGAATGACCATCCATACAGCACTGATAAGCCATTTTGGTAATTTGTCTAAAAGAAGAATAGTTAGAATTTGACACATCCTGCCTTTGTAATCTGTAGTATGGATCAAGTTTCAAAATAACACATTTTCCCATAAATATCATGCTAGAACGCCATTATCCGACATCATGCCCACAGTTTGTGCAACAGTCTCTGTTTATAATGTGAGATATTTATGCCCAAACTGAGTTAACCTTGATGCTATCAGTCGTTTCGCCATAATTATGACGGTTCAACAGAAGCCACATGCAGGTCACTCTGCTTTATGAACCACCGGGCAATATGTGTGCCTTTGTGCTGTGTTTGGTTTTTCATGCTGATAAGATCACACCTCACACTGTGTGTAATATATAAATGGGGGAGTGAAATATGAATCTGCGAGCTTAATTATTAACTAAAATTTCACTTAAGAAAAAATAATTTTCAAATTGAAGAAAAGACGACAGTCTTTCTTTTAAAATATGGGGCCTCCATGAATACAATATTAAATTGAAAAAGTTAAGGTGACAGTGTTATAAGATGTTATCTAGCCTGCATTGTAGGTCATTTTGTGATCATTATGATAAGCGTCTGATAGCAATGTGGTAAATGATGTCCTGATAGTGGCAGTAAGTGGTGCAAGGACGGCTACTAAATGTGAGCATGAACAATATGATGTGTGACGCCGACTCTTGAAAGGTACGTTTCTTACATTATGCCATTTGAGGGAAAGCTACGATGACACCATTTCCCCAATACATTAAATCATTTTTGGATTGGTTCAGAATTATTTGTTCTTCTCAGTTTTTTTATAGTAGTAATATAATTTCACACTTTTGCATAAAACATATCTATTTGAAGTGAAAATGATGTGTAAATACTGTTTTGGGGATTCAGATAAAAATATATGGATGCCTGCAAAACTTTTTCCTTTTGAAAACCAGACTGTACAAAAACACATTACTGAACATAACTCTGTTTGTTCTGCATACACATTTGGTTATCTTAATCCTAATGAGTTGCAAGAAAATGTTGTTTTCATGCTTGGGGACATAGTTATTAATACACTGAACATTAAAATACTAAATTATGTTGCTTTTCTGCCATATTTTATCATGCCAGTAATCCATATTCATATTCTGTTTCCACAAAGTCTTTTTCCTGAGGGACGTTTTCCTCGGTGTGGAACAGAAGAGAGTAGAGCAGCAATCTTTGGGGAAATATCAGACATTGGGCCCTACAGCTTGACTGCATGTCGGGCAAAACCATTTACAAGTGAAATGCATACAGCTGGATGCGGTTTACACAGAGTAATTGCCTTTGGCTTCTGGGGAATACAGGATTGTATCAGTTCTATAATCAATAAAAGTGTACTGGCTGGATAGCAGCAGCTGCTGTACCCATATGAGGATCAGAGCAGGCAATTAAACAGTCTTATTAATGTTGCTGTTATTGTTTGCTGTACTTTGGGGGTTGGGAATACTGATAATAGAAAGGGATTTTGTTTTCCTTCTGTGCGTTTGCTCATTCTGCTGCAAAGGAAATATTTAACATTCTGAAAATGTTTGGTAAACCGAAACCACCAACCAGCACCTCAAGCTCAATGATGAATGAATTAAGTCTCATCGGCTTAAACCGCTCAAAAAGGGAACTATTTTGAAGACGTGGATTCATGGAGCTACAGTTTGTGCCGCGCTATGTGATTTGCAAGGATTTGATTGTCACTGCTATCAAGTTTCCAGGCAACAATTCAAGGCAGTTATTCGTAGTTAGTTGTTAATTGTTAGTTGGTTGTTATTGGATTGTTGTTACCAATGCATTTCCAAGATGATGGGGGTTAAAGTAGTGATTATAGCGGTACGTTAGTTACCTGACAGGGTGCTGAGGCCGTCCACCCCTCCCTTGCAGGCCGTGAAGTTATGGGGCTGCATGTAACCCCAGAGGAGTTGGACATCCCCTGTAACCCCCCCCCACAGATACAAGCAGCTGACCCAGCAGAGCGCCCGTAGCGTGGCCAAGCAGCGCCGCGCCTTCGTCACAACCGGTCACTCTCTGGTAGAGACCAGGCTGCGCCACACTGGAACTGTAGGAGAAATAGGACACATCTGCTGCCATGGCGACGCTGAAGCTTAAGAAGGCCAACTGAGCCGAGCGAACCTCTGAGCCAAGTAGAATCAGCAGAGAGGCGCTGCGACGTGGCCGAGCCCCTGGAGGATGATTACAGGCTTGCACCTGAGGAAGTCTGTCGCCGGGAGGACTGGGATGACGAGAACCAGGCGCTGGAGTAAGTCCACACGGGATACACCTGTCTAGTCACCTGGAAAATGGAGGGGAAGAAGATAAGAAAGAATAATGAGGGGTCTAACTGCTGATTGCCTGTGAGACACGATGGGAGGAGCACACAAGATGCTGTTCCACCGCTTTTCATTATCAATGAAAAATGGCTTCGGCATGGACGTGATGGAAGCAGTGCGAACGAGGCTCATCGTGTGCCGAATTGATCCAATTTAATATTATAAAAATGATTTCAATTGTTGCAGAAAGGCAGATCCCTTGAAGCAAAGATATAGTCATTATAACGGTGTTCCCAAGTAGTTTTTTGGCTTTCTTCTTTGGCCTTGAATTAACGCATTTTCAAAGATGATTTTTCTCTTTTTAAAAAACAATGACATGCCAAAGCAACGGTTTTGGTGTTCAGTCCAAACTCCTCATTTATGAGCTTTATAGTCATTTTCTAGTCATTCTTCTATCACATGTACTTTGTTGGTATATTTAGAATATGGGGTTTGCACTTTGTTAACAAACATAGTTAATTCCTACAACTTGGACTCTCATCAGCCACTCAGGACCACAGGATGGAAAGTAACGTGCATCACACGTGGTTGCGTGTGAAATGAGTGCAGCTCGGGCGAACCTGCCATGAAGTGGCTTGCGGCCCGCCACGAGCATCACAAAGTGATTGTCATTGCAGAGGTGTGAATGACCCCATTCAGTTTCTTCTCAATGCCCCCATGTGAGGCGTAATACGGTAGAGTGCTCTCCTCCCGTCAGTCTACACCAAACGCTTTGAGGTCTCTGGTGTAAACAGGTCAGCTCCACTCATGCTAGTCTGGCTAATGCTTGCATCAGTTTTGCTGTGGCACCACATTCGCCTTTATTATTCCTCTCCTTCATGTTTTGGAGAAAAAATAACATTCTGTGAATAATGTAACAAAGTAATATATTTTACATTTAAATTCTTCCCTTCAGATGAATCCAAAATGGTAAATGAGGATTTGCAAATTTGCCCACGTTGAAGAACGATCTTAAGAAATAGATTGCAAAATGCTACTATTTAATCCTCTGTTATCTCTGGAGGGATCAGACTTTTTTTTTTTACTGCCACCATCCGTTTGAACATTTTCCTGAAAAATATATAGCCACCCTAAGGATGTAATTGTCAATGTAAAAACAGTTATCAGGTGGTTTCAATTCACAATATTTTAAATTTAAACTTCTAGTTTACTATGATGAAAAGGTTAAGGCCAACGGAATGATACCAGTATTACAAGCATAGTATTAATGCCATAATGCCATCGATTTTGTAAATGCACTTCTAGATTTACTCAATTAAATTAGACTCTATAATTAAAACAACTGTAGTGCTTATTATGTGAGGAGAAATGCATCCAAGAACCAAACAACCAATATTGGATTCATCCTTTGTTTAAATGCATCTGGATTACTCACATAATTATGATATGGCCTCCATCACTGCGCAGCGGTCAAAAATCTCATTTCATAGCTCAGCGCCTCACCTGCTCACTGGTGAGATTCTTGTACATCCCTGTGAGAAACTCATTGTGATGAAGGGCTCTATAGGCCTCATCATGGAGCAGAAACCATACATGCAGAGCAGCACAGTGCCGCCCCCCGTCCCCCCAACCAGCATTGCGTGGCATATAATGGCCTTCCCAGCCACACTCACTGCTCCAGCTAAAACCCATCGTCCCTCTCCGGCTCCCCGGGGAAGTCTTGCCGTGTCCATTGAGAGCGTAGTCTAATTTAAGAAGTTTAATCTGTTGAGATATGGAAGCGCCAGATAAGGCCGATAAGGTGAGACCGATTGTGAACACTGAGTCACCTGTTTTACCATTACTGTTTCTCTCCTCGGAAGTTTTCTACGATGAGGCAGGGGAAAGAAAATACCTGGCTGTAGGGCATTAAGATGAAATATGAGGTGAGCAGTCTCTTGGGCTCCAGCGGGTCATAATAAATACTGTCTCCTCCTCTTTATACAAAACCCCCTCATTCCAGCAGATATTGAGAAAGGGGTGGAAGTCAAGCAGAGGAATATGTATGAGCGTGTGTGTCTCCACTTAGTTGTACACGCACCCACCACTGTTAGCTAGGGGAGTCCAAAACAATATAAGTGATGAATAAAATGATTCAACACTGTTTTAATTAAAGAAATATTAGATAATATAAGTCACAAATTTACAAGATTCTTAATACAGCTTTTCCAGGCGCTTAAAGAGTCATGTAGACACAAATATCCCTCAGCTCTGAATTACATTCACCCAAATTTACACGTTTCATAGTAGCCCGTCTGGTCAAATGATCTTTACTTTCAGCGCTTTGTCTTTTTGACCGTCATCAATATCAAGTTTGTAACTTTAAAGCCAGTTTTCCTTGCCAGTTAATTCCTAACATTAGGGGAAGAAACGAGCAAGTCAATGATTCCCGAGCTGAGAATCACAGTAGTCTGTAATTCCAAATATCCTACGGGGAATTATTAGTCACCAGTGGGGTGTCAACAGAAATCTCTGCCTCAGCTCAAACTGTCAGACTGCCGGCATGACTTAATTCTCAACATCAAGGTCACCGCAAGGCAGAAGTATTATTCATGTTTATCTATTTAGCATTTCTAGTTGAATGCTGTCAGATTTAGACTGTAATATTCAGAGACTGTGGCTGAAGGCAGCAGATAAAGACACACAATTGACCTCCACATTATCCGAACAGTAGCGTTACTCACATTTGGTTCTATTATTAGTTGACGTAGTAGAGTAATAAATAAGGTCCGATATCCATTAGTTTCATCTTCAGAGTACCTGTGTTTTTATTAATTGGCTTTTACATCAATGGACTCATCACACTCTTAATCATCTGTGACCTGCAGTCCTATTCCTTATTAACTACAGCAGACAGAGATGGAGCTCATTCTCATTTGAGAAGCCAGATTAACTCATTTTCTTTCTTTCTTTTTTCTTCTCCGTAATCTTCTACAGTGTGGACAGAAGTGCTGATCGAAGGTATCTATCTTTCATTTCCCCTTCTTTGCCGTCTGCAAATTCATGCGTAAAGATAGTGAGACGTCCTCGTGATAGCTGGAATAGAGGGGGGACTATGGGAGGCGATGCAAGGTAAATGTCTGAAATTGCCTGCAGTGCACAGTAGGGCCAAATGGACCTCAGCATGGTGAAGGACATCTGAAAGATCGGGCGGGGCACCGTGTATTTCTGTGCGTCACAGCGGTTCAGTAAAAAAGGAGGAAAAAAAACGTATCAAAATTTGATTTTTGGGGTGAACACGGGCTGAGGTCGAACCTTTGTCGAGTAAGCTCTGAAACGCACAGGTTGACCCTGCTGTGAACGAAGCAAACTTTTTTTTTTTTTTTTAAACCCTAACTGTTCCAGTACATCATAAAAAGTGCACGGGGGCAGCTTCTACATTTCTTTTAAATCTCACCTTTTGTCATAGGGACACCTGTGTGTTTGTATCTCCACGGCATTGCCCTTGGGTTATATGATTTCCGCTCTGTACCCTCACTTTGGATTTCTTCATCCCCACTTCTGAATTGCAGGATGTGACACAGTTAGCAAAGGAAGCCATCGTGCATTGATTCCAAACCCGTCTTCCCACAAGATTCCTTTAAATTCTTTACCATTCTTGTTGGCAAAACATTTGAGGCCACTACAGTGAGGAGTCTGGTTTTGCTTGGTGTGTGTGTGTGTGTGTGTGTGTGTGTGTGAGAATGTTAAGTTGTTTTATGAGGCTCAGATAAGCATATGTTTGCAGTGGTATGGCTGAAAAACAGAACTACCACTGCTCCAAACCGATAAGGCGCGGAAGTTCTGTGCTTGTGCGTGCGAGTGTCTGTGTGTGCGCTTTTTTTTTTTTCTCCACCCTCCAATATGGTTCCTGTTGATTTCACCAGACAACAAGCTGGATTAATAATAGAGTTGTTTAAAGCAGTGTTCTCTGTTGCAAACAAGAAGACGAACATAATATAATCCAGCACCACTTAGAAACTTGTTTTTTATTAACATTTACTCTTGGTACCCTACAGGTCTAGGAAGTGCTGCTCCGGTGCCTCCCAGTTATAAAATAGAAAAGTGCTAGAACATCATGTTGTAATCAACCATCTGAAGCTGTTTTCAGGAGGCGTTTTGGCACAAAAGATGGTCATCATGGAAAGCACCCGCAGCACTAGATGGCGCTCTGGCTTCATCGCACACTTGCTTATTCCCTCCTCATCTCGGTGATTCACGGTGGCTCGCCACATATTCCTGAAGACTTTGACAGCCTCAAACTTGTGAGAGCTGCAGGAAGACCAGCGCATGATTGACACTCTGATGGGCAGACAAACTGTGAAAACCTCAAAACCAGCTGTCTTTACGGAGCGGCCATCTGCCACTTCCTGTCTAATTGGATGATGAGTGCTTCATTTGGGATGCTTGCCTGATTGCTTAATATTTTGTCTCCAGATGTTTTGAATTATCGTTCCGGCTTGTTATTGTTCCTGCTCAGTTGCAATAGATGTAGCGGAATTAGTAACAGCGCTGGCGGTACAGGCAGCAACAGTCAATAGATCATAGCTGTAGCTGACAGCAGCCGTGATCTATCGACGTGCTCGTGCTGAAGATATGACTTGGTCCACAGAATCTTATAAAGAGCTGCGTTGCCGGCTTAGAGCTAAGCCCCCTTTGACATTTTGTTCACTCGACCATGGGCTAACATTTCCTGAGACACTGAGAAATATCGTAAAGGATTTCACAGTTTTCACCCACAGTAATGTGTGTGTGTGTATACAAAATAAAAAAAACATGCTTCATCCTTTCATTTCTGACCACACCGTGCAATATGCTGGAGCCATCTGGGTGTCAGGGCGCTGCTGCTATGATCAAAACCGGAAAAATGTATGAATCTTACAGTAGAACCAATTTGTCACACGGTTTGTTTCCATTTTCATTGGAGGAAACTAAATGTATCACCAGGCAAAAACATATTATAACCATTATATCAACTAAAATGAATATGGCAAAAAGACTAAAATGTAGAATTGAAATGCCACTGAATATCAATATGTCAGTGGCACTGTAACGCTCACAATGAGCTGCCTCCGATCAACACTTCACATTTGAGCCAAGTGCACCTACGGCCGTCAGCGCTGAACTCAACCCTGTGACATTTAAAAGAAGAAACGAGGAGGAGTTTCACTGCCCCATTGCACAAAATGACAGTCACGTCATGTGTGAAAGGGAGAATAGCTGGAATTTCCAATAGAAGCTCTCTACCTATTCAAACATATATACAGTGTATGTGTGTATTTTTATTTATATAAAACAAACAAAAATACATCTAAACAATGCAGTCATGAATGTGCTCAAGGCAGCTGTATGATTATTTCTTGCTACTGTTTTAGACCAACGGACATACAGCTATTCCTGAAATGGATGTCAGTTGTATTTCAGGTATTTGGACATAAACCAAAATAAAAAACTAGGCAAAAGTCATGGGACTCAGTGAATGTCGTCCTCTGTGGACCATGAATGTCTGTGAAAAATGTAATGCTTTTTATTACATTACAGTAATAATTACATTATATTACAGTTACAGAAAAAGTGGACCAGTGCATTAACATTCATGGAAATCCTTCAATTTTCTAGCCTAGAATTCTCACTCTCTCGGATTTATTGTCACGGGAGTTCTTGGTTCCAGGCGGTTATAGCTAGTTACTCCAGGAATCCAGATGAACATAAAATGAGTGGCATTGGTGTCCAGTGTTTTAGGGGCATTTTGGCTCAAGTTTGCCTGCAAAACCAGGGAAAAAATGTATTTGATTATACTGACTTCAACGTATGAGGAGTCACAGGCTTATCCGTCCATCTTAAAGGCAAACAAATGTACGAATGGTAAGAGTGGCAAGACAGCTGGACAGTATTAGGGAAGTGACACCGGTCTCTAGAGCATTTCCTTCTTGTCCAATAGAGGTCACCAATGACTTAATACCACTTTAACAAGTCTTTAACAGATAAATGACTTGAAAAAAATGACAACACGGCAATGGTCACACTAGTTAGAATATACCTATTAGAAGCCATGCATTAAAACTCATTAGAGCTTGTTTGGAAAGGATGGGAGGTGTTTGGCACCAATCAATCAAGGTCATCACGCAAGCGCAGAAGCTGCCGTGCTGTAGCTGGAGGGCTCTTAGACTGATGAGTGTCAGCGGCTTCTGGTGAGCGCTCGAGGGCTAATGTCCCTCTCACTGGGCTCCCCTCCTTTCCCTCGTTACAGATGAGTCCTGTTCTGACAGAGAACTGCAGGAGGGACTGGAAATAAAAGCTGACATAACAGCACCCTTCCCACATCTTGTCAGAAATCGACTCTTTTGCCCCTCAATTCAATTCAGAATCGAATAGGCTGCTCAGGTTAGCTGTGAATAGATTGAATTAGCTGTGTGTGTATGTGGGGGGGTTGGGTGCAAGCACGGGAATGTGTATGCATGAAATATTTGTATATGTTTGGCTCCTTTACTAGTACCCGTTTCTCTTTAACTCAACTTCTTTTCATTTTGGTCTTTCCACACAGGATGGGTTCATTTCTGCTCCATTTTCGGTTCCAAGCACAAGTCAGCCTACCGTTCGACAGCTCTCATTCAGATCATTCAGCGTGCTTCCTTTCACAATCAACTAATTATATTCTTCATAGTGCGGCCTTGCATAAGATTCTCTATTTTTGGCTCCCGTCCAAACAGGAAACCGTACTTGGAGCACCTCATTGCGAGAGTCTGGCTGGTTTTGAATCACGGTAATACTTTATGTTGAAAGAGGAAACATTTAGTCACGACAAACCAAAATATTGGCAGGGGGAAAAACCCTTGTACATATATGTATATGTCCTGTTCCACATATGAAAGTAGTCCAACAATAGCTTTTGGCTAAAAAAAAAAGTAACCTCGGGACAGGGTTCTCGGTTTGTGTCTTCTCTCGGCAGTGCAATTTGGAGCCATTCTAATTAAGCCTTAATAAGAAACATTAAAGGAGAAAGATGAAGAAAACACCATGGAAGATAATTATCAGTGCATTTCAAGCAGCTGACAAAGGGTTGCACTGGTTGCTAGATTTAGGCATTAGTTATTCTAATGAAAGCAGGGAATTCATTTTGAGGTCGGATGTCATGCTGCATGTTAATAAAATCTTCATCTGCGAGAAACAATGTGCCAGATGATACTTTCTAAATGACCTTGCAGATCAAGCTACCCTCATGCGATGATGCTCTCTCTTAATGGCATTGCCTCGTGAGGAATTAGGCTTCTGATTTATATAAATCCAAACTACATTTGTCTTTAATGATAGCACTTCTTACATCAGTGCTATCAGGGGTTTGCATTTTCTATTTCTTTTTGCAATATCTGCATAAACTAAAATGGTTTGTAACATTATTTAATTATCGCCAGAGGCAGTAGTACAACCTGGGGGGCTGAAATGTGAGACCAATGCAACACTGAATTTGTTTGAACTCCTGATCATTCAGCAGGTGTTTAAAAAAAATTATATATATATATTTGAAAGGTTATATTTAGAGGTGATCAGTGCTTCATTGTTCAACCTCACAATGTCTCCCCCCAAAGTTTGAATTCTGTTCAGGGACGGCGCTTGAATCACAAACCATTTATCTAATCAAGCCATGGGCAGTTCTATTAAGAAGCAAGGAGGGGGCTTGGCGCTGCGTGGTTACCGGCTCTGAATAACAGCCTGAAATGAAAGTGGCCTTGAGATTTATAGCACCCCTTGGCTGAACCTTGACACAATTGCCCCCTTCTCCTGTTTTGTCACAACTCATACCTAATTCAAGTATTTTCTTTTGCAATTAAAATGTTTTATTAGAGAACAAAATAAAAAAAGTACTTCCCAAATCTGTCCTCTTGCACCTAATTGATGCATTTCATTTGATTAATGTGCAACAGTGTGCACCCTCCACTGTGGTAAAACACTGGCTTAAGCCAGAACTGGATTGGCCCTCTTCAACCAGCACATTGTATTGTGCATCTAGCTTCCGTCCGTACCACGGCTAAAGCTAGAGAAGACGGTTATAACAGCGTATCAACAGCCAAAAGATGTACGACCATGATGTGCTCCAGTCAGTAGGATATACTGATCAAAAATCTGTATGCTTTATACTTTTCACATACTCCTTTCAAACATATACTAAAGTACAGTTTATACACACGCACACCTTCAGTGCTCTGTTAAATAGATTCACAACTGACTATAAAATCCACATTATGCCACATCTTCGGGAGTCTCATGTGAAGACGAGCATCTGCGCTGCTGTCAACACCGAGGTGCTTCTTTGACAAAGAGAGGAAGCAGGTACGAACTTTGTGAACTTATAAAAGGTTGGTTTAAACTTGTGCACCACTTGCAGTCGTGCTAACAGCTCTGAACCCGAGTAGAGACCCGTATGCTGCTCTTTCTCAGCCACCTTCTCCATCTTTTCTAATGAATTCTCTGTGGAGCTTCGCAATTGTGGGGACCAGCTTTGCTCTCTTGTTTCTGGCTACATGAGACTGTAATAGATGTTCACCTGTACAAAACCAATTGCCCCGGGTTGCAGGGATTGAGGACAGTATAGGAAGCCAGAAGCTCACCGTATGCCATTTTCCCAGCGGCTTTGTTTGTAAGAGTCAAGAGTTCTGTTACGCCTACTTTTAACCCTCCTCGTCTGCTTTCTGAAACCTTTACTGTTGTTGTAGTCTGGGGGTCTGCTGCGGTCCTATTTGAGCTTGTTGTTTTGGAAAATGGAGCCACATTAGCAACTGTAGGTTATTAAAAACCCACGTTACAATGAACGCGACATTCAGTGTTATACCACATTTCACCACTATAGTGTGAAATGTAGTGTATAGTGTACACTAGAATACAGCCATGATTCTGAAACTGTGTAATCAATAAAGTAATGACAATATTGTAAAACCACTGTAATTCTGCAACTATAATAGAATAATACCAATGTACAGTTATGATTGTATTTGATGTAATGTAATCAACTGGAATGCATGCATGTAATACTTGCACAACAACTCATGTTGACTAAGGGCCATTCAAAATCCATGAGTTACATTGAACTCACCAGAAGACCACTCCCAGAGGTGTGGACACTAACTTTCACATTTTTAAGCATTGTTATAAATACCTATAGGAACCATTGTTCTCGAGTTCGCTGGTGGAGGCGACAAACGGGCACTAGGGATGGTCAAAAGGACTGACCTGGGGCCTGTTGGTTGCTGAGACCAGCGGCTCCTCCTCAGCTGAGATGTTCTTTTTACCACAACGCCATCTCCTTTATTAAATACATTTGATTTTAACCTTTTGATCTGTGATGACCTCTGTCCGTCCGGCGTTTCTTCATTTTTGAACACAACATAGTTGTGACGGGTAGTGTCAAGGGGTTGAGCTGACGTCATCAATGAGCGGCCTATTTTACGGGCCGTCTCCCGTTCTCTAGCAGTCCGCTGAGAGGAGAGTAACAGGTAGGTCGCTAACTGGTAGGTTGTTTGTGATGGGGGAAATTGGCAGCTTATAGATCTCAACCTTGCAGGTTTTGCCGGCCGAGTGGAGCCCCGTCGGACGTCGTTGGGGAGGGTTTAGCTCCTCAGCCTTTCCAGGTGGCGCACAAACTGCTGTTTTGCCGTATCCGGGTACGAGTAGTGATTAGCGATTGTAAACAGCTGATATCCATTGTATGCGTCCCGCGCTCCGGTTTTGTTTCGGGTACTTGCCTACTGTTGTTTTTATTTATTTCGAGCGGGGGATGCCCGATGTGTGGAGGAATAGCGTGGGTATTTTCTTAGATCAGATTTTAGCATGTGGCGTGATATTGCATGAACTGTTTTTAACGCACTTTGTTTTGACTGTGTGTGTGTGTGTGTGTGTGTGTGTGTGTGTGTGTGTGTGTGTGTGTGTGTGTGTGTGTGTTGCGCGGTGTGTGTGTTGCGCGGTGCGTGTGTTGCGCGGTTGCACAGGTGATTAGATGAACTGGGGGATTCGCTGTGTCCACAGTGACGCTCGCCGTATTTAGCGACCCGGGCAAGTACACAGATTGTTCGTGATAAGCTGTCAGCCAAATTAGAATAGGTTTACGGTGTTTGTTTTTTACTGCTGTACTAATAAATTATTGTTTTGTACCACAATATGATCTCTGTTCCTTGAGTAAACCGAACCTGTATTGTCCAGTCCGGCTCAAGGACTTCCCCCTCTTATAATAAAGAAAAGACCCTGGTGTTATCACAGTAGTTAGAAATAAATCAGCCCCCCCCTACTTGGTGCCACATAGTGAAATGACTCTCTGTGGCCTGTGGACTGGGGAAGCCTGCGAATCCTCGAACAAGGTGTTTACTTTTTTGCGCAACGCTTATTCTTTCGATCTAACTTTTTCGATTTGCGGTATCCCTTGTTCGTCGGGGGTTTTCTTCATTTTTGAACACAACACTGAGTGTTAACAGCCCTCACACAACCAAACGTCAATGACTGAGTAAAACTGAAAGTAGCTCTTTAAGGGCAAGTTGTTTTTAGGAAGGACTTGTCTGTTTAAAAGCATTTTCCGACCACATCGAAAGCTTTTTACACACAAACATTTGACGGAGGTGGTTGTATGGACGATGAAAAAGTGGAAAGGGCTGGAGGCTTGTACTGGTAAAAGGTAGACATTAATGAAATTCTGCTGGAGCAATAATTAAATTCCTATTTTGAACATTTTCCGTAGCCCAGCTTCACTCTACCCAAACCTGTGCCGCCTTGTTCCAGAAAAAGTGCTTATATTAACCAGTGTTTTAGGCAAACCCCTCCCAGATTCCAATAAAACTGCCAGCGCGATAGCACCACAAATTTCATCCCCTTAAACTACTGCATAAGGATGCAACCTTGGCTGCTCTCACTTGGCACCAGGTTGTTTTCTGATTGGAACCCTTCAAGTTGAGCCAACGAAGCGAAGCATCTCGTTTGATCCGTTCTCTCACCCCAACCGAGCAGTAGGAAGCGAAAAAGACAAAAGCATAAATGACAGATATAATTAGTTAGGCTTAACCTCCATCCATCTCTCAGCTGGGCAGCAAACATACACACCCACTGTGCCCACACCTACTTTAGAATTCATCTCGACTCGAGGCTCTGGTTTGTAATTGCCTCAGGAGCCGGGTTACTGAGAGCCAGCCTATTAGCAGGGCACCGAGTTGGAACATAACATTTTCAGTTTCAATTAGCTCTATGAGGGCATACATAATGCACGGGGGAGGTTTGATCCCCTCGGAGTTCTGAACTGGTGAACTCATGTGGAAAAATGACGCAGCAGTGGTCAAAAAAAAACACCAAGCTGAGCTGTATTGACTGTTGCATGTGGCTATAAGATTTGTCAGCCTTAACTGAATTAGTTTGGACTCAGTGGAATGTGAAGATGCATTTTCCCAGTGAGCATTTGGAGCGAGCGAGAGAGACCACCAGCTTTAAAAGAGTCCAAATGGCACCGGACAGAATTAACTGAATTACATTCACTCCTATGTGACTGCAATTACTTGCTGTGGAGGTTTGGCCAACTGAAGTGCAGGGATCCCAAACATTGGGACCTGATTATGGAATCATGTGATTTTATGTAATCTTGTTTTTATGCATGTAATCATCCTGACCGACCCCCTTCGGATATGATTGCATTAAATTATTCTACACTCCAGATGAATTAAGATCAAGTTCTGTTAGCTGAGCCGCTGCAGCAAACCACGTCTCCTCGTTAAAGCGTACGAAGAGGCCGTACGATTTACAGAAACATTATAATGAACTAACTGGCAATGTTAGTGATAGCAAAGATGAAACCGCCTTAACATAATAATCTAAGACAAACGGAAGTCAATGTATTTGATTCATACTTCTGTCATTCACCGATGTGCTTTTAGAGGGAGTCTCAGCTTTAGCCTTAACTAAAGACGTTTCATATAAAGTCAGTGACTATGTGCACTGAACTGCATAAAGGACTGCAGCTTTTATTAACATTTGACCTTTTAGGAAACTATTCACTAGTTCGTTGTAGCTGCCTATCCTTAAGTGCCAATGCTGAAATATGCATTAATAAATACATATTTTTTAGATGATATAATACAATATATTGATTTGGAGGAGATAAGAGATAAAATATATCGCTGTTGCAACGTCGTAGTTCAATTTCACTGCTGCCTCCCTAATGCATCCATCACCACGGGCATTCATCCTATTTTTTATTTTTACCCAGTTTCATTTGTTTTTGTGTGCTTTTTTATGGACCTGCAAAACAGATGCTCCATCGGCCCATGGTTCTCAGTAGGTTTCTGCGTTCCCATTTTGACATTGTGCACCCTCAGGCTTCCAACCTTCATATCCGTGCCATCTCCTCCGTCTGCCAGTTAACTAACTGTGTAGACTCTGAACTCCCTGGCTTTCCTTCACCTGTCAGGTCATCATCGCCAAAAGTATTGCGGTTTAAATCGTTGACTGTCTCCCTCACCACTCTACCTTTTTACATGAATGAATGTATTTGTGTGTGTGTGTGTGTGTGTGTGTGTGTGTCTATTTCTATGTTGTCTTTTCTAATTATACTGTGTGTGCTAACATCATTTTGTAAAAAAGGTGTATCTTTATTTTGGTTGTTGGTCTTCCCCTCCTGCAGGGCCCATCTCTCCGATGTGCACTGGGCTGTTTTTGTGACAAGCAAACAACCCACCACTTTAGGCTGAAGTGTGACCATCCACGGGCAGGAATTGACTCCACCCGAGAATGACAACAGGCATTCTGTCTTTACCGAAACAACCGCTCTCTCTCTCTGTGTGTGTGTGTGTGTGTATTTATTTATTTATTTATTTATTTATTTATGTGATCGGTTAGACCAGAGAAGCCAAATGTGGCCTGGTTCCCGCCTCAGCCAGGGCAAACAAGACCGGACCGACACAAGCCATTTTCTCCACCGCCCCTGGTTAAATTCCCCGCTTCTAAACCAGCCGCCCTGCAATTCCACTTTCTCTCTCTATGTGAGCCACATGCTGATGGTAGAGGGGGCAGCGCACCCAGCAAGCAAATAAGGAGCAAGCCGGGTGGTGAGACAGCGGCGTGGGGGAACAGATGACATGTCATACCACAGAGACACGGCTGATAAAGCTGCAAAACGCTCTATTTGGGTTTGATTGGTTTAGCTTTGGTTGGCCCGCGGACACGACTCTCGTGGGGAGTCAGGATCATGTTGACACCAGTCTTGTTTTTGTCCATCCGCTGTTGTTTACCCAGTTAAAACATGGACTGGGTCGGGTCGAACGGTGTGGCCTTGTTGGCCCTCGGAGGTGTTCGTGACCCTCCACTGAGTCTGACTGGCCTGCGTGTCTGCGCTTTAGCTCAGCAAGTTGAGCTGCAGTTGGATTCCAGCCCCCCGGTCCTGTTCCCTCTAGCACAGGATCAGAGGGTCACAGAACCCGGCTTTACTTTAATTTCTGACTAAAGTCCCAGGGGATAAATTGTTAAGAACATTCTGTCCCGAGCATTACACGGATTTCTGAGGTGTCTGGTCAGGTTTTACAGCGCAGGCAAAACAAAATGGACTTTATATCTTCCATTTCATGATTCTTAACTTATCCTGTTGCAAAATGGATTATTTGTTGCGGTTTTGTGTTGTCCCACGTTAAAAGTATTCATCATGTCGCCGGTGATTTGTGTTTCTATCGATTTTTCTGTTTTTTTTTCCTTTACAAATGTCCTCATGGGGAAAACGCAAAGCATTAATCCACCAATCATGAAGGGTTTTGGAAACGTCTTCATACCGATACCAGCAAAAACATGCCTGTGCTCATTTTAATATTATAAAAAGAATTAGCCAGCTACAGATATAATGGAATTTTGTTAAACGCTTAGTGTTGCCTTTGTGTGACGCCGTTTTGTAAACTGCCCAATCAAGAATAAACCATTTTAGTTTTAAACCCAAAAAACAGCCAAAATAAAAAAATATAACTGAAAGTTCCCTTAGATATTCTATGGTGGATCTTTAGTAAAAAAATGTACCGTATTTTCCGCACTATAAGGTGCACAGCATTATAAGGCGCACCTTCAATGAATGACCTATTTTAGAACATTTTTCACATAATAGGGCGCACCGGATTATAAAGCGCATAAGATACTGCCGTCAAGCGTTTGACGTCGGGGCGGGTGGATGTGGGGCGGTGGAGATGGTGCTTTCAGGGACTGATCGATGCTGCGAGGTGCGTCCGCTCCCGCCGCCCCCCTCGCCGTCCACGCGTTAAATCTTCGGCTGCTCTCCAGCCACGCCGCCTACCAAGGGCTCCTTTTAGAATAACTTGTTTTCCCTGTTAAGATGGTTCAGCTACTGTAAAAAAAAATAGGCACGTCTCTCGCTCTTTAATGTCATTAAAGTTCTCAGAAAGAACGACAGCTTTGTTTCTCCGACGCGCCCTGAAACAAGCTCCATATCTCACGCGCTTGAGCGCCCGCTTAGCATCTCGCCGCCGTAGACCGAGCTTTGTCATGTTTGGCAGAGCGCCTTGAGCGCCGTGTACAACCAGTATGGATCAACCGATTGACCAATTGATCCATATATAAGGCGCTCCGGATTATAAGGCGCCCTGTCGTTTTTTGAGAAAATTTAAAGGCGTTTAAGTGCGCCTTATAGTGCAGAAAATACGGTATTATACTTCAAAAGAGCACTGTGAAGACCACTCCTGGGCAGCAAGCTGTTTGAGCGACACCGTGATCCCACTTCCTGGGGAATCAAATTATTTGTTTGTGCTATCATGTAATCATGTAATGTTATTTTGAGTATGAAAGCACGTGCAATCCTCTTCAGGCCGTACTGACGCAGGATTCCAATCAGCGCTGGCTTGGATTTTTCGGTTTGAGCCATAAACGTATGGCACGTATGTGCACTGCAAAAAGACTCCAACACGCCATGTGATTTTACTTTGCCCGTGTGGACACCTCAGCGTCCCGTACTGATTCGCGGTGTCGCGAATCAGTACGGGACGCGCTCTCTTTATTCCTGCTCCCACTCTTCTATTCCTTGTATTTCCTCACTCATGGTGCAGGCAACACATGACACACAGGAAACATGCCCACACCAAATATAAATATCAACATCATGTTTGTGTAAACCATTCATAAATTATCCATAACTCTCCGAATAACTTGTCAGAGCACTTTAACTACCTGGAAGCAGTAAAGCCTTGTATGTACTCGCGCAATAGAGGCTGGTGAAATGAAGCGTGCCCATAGAAAACCAGGTTTGAAGACCGTTTCAATGCTTAAGTACTGTACATATTTAAAGGGCAGCCAGCAGTCGCATTATATTCAATAACAATGTTGTGAAAAATGGAATCCGTGCTGTTGGCTAAGAAAGGTAAATGGTTGCCATGACAACCGGTAAAGCAGTACTCCTACTTTCTCTCTCACTTACTCACACACACACACACACACACAGTGATAAGGCTGTCTAATTTACCCTGACCTCTCTGTCTCAAGAGGCTGCCTCTCACATTGACGGCCTTTAATTGTTTGACTTATAGCGGTTCTTCTTCCATCTCACCTGAACACACAAACACGGCCCACACAGTCAGGCACTCTTTCCTCTGATGAGAGGAAAAGCCATACAACCGCCTGTATGTATATCACAAATCAAAGAAGGTATATCCTCTTTGTACGATTTTGTTTCATCTACTGCAGTCTGGTGGGTCGCAGTGTTAGTACAGCCGGGTCGCACAGGGAACTCTCTCTCGTTTGGCTACCTCCTGTAAGGTAACGTGATGTCTGAATAAACCGTTAACGCAACGTCGTTGCCTGTGCTATGTGGGTTAGACAAGCACTCGCGATAAAGTAAGGACATAACAGGTGTGTCCTCTCTCAAAACAAAAGTTTCAAGCACAATACTGACAATGAATCTAGGATGGCCGTTTTTGAAAAGAATAGCAGAAATCAAACTGATAAAATTTGTTTCATTAATATGAGAAGGCTCAAACACATCTGCACTATTTAATTTTTGTTTTTTCAGTTTGCAAATTCTTCCTCTTTATAAATAAATAAATGCCTCACCAGAGAGGAGAACACGCTGGATCACTGTTACACGACAGTAAGCAGGGCTTATCACACCGTCCCTCGTGCTGCACTGGGACACTCTGACCACGTCATGGTCCATCTGATTCCTGCATACAGGCAGAAACTAAAGCTCTGCAAACCTGTGGTGAGGGAATTCAAGAAGTGGACCAGTGAGGCGCTGGAGGATCTTCGGGCGTGCTTTGACTGCACAGACTGGGATGGTTTCAGGACTGCTACTAACAGTCTGGATGAGTTCACAGAGGCTGTAACTTACTACATTGGCTTCTGTGAGGACAGCTGTGTACCATCATGCACCAGGGTGAGTTACAACAACGACAAACCCTGGTTCACAGCGGAACTCAGAACACTACGCCTGCAGAAGGATCAGGCATTTAGGAGTGGGGACAAAGACTTTTACATAGAGGCAAAATACAAGTTCAGCAAGGCGATGAGAGATGCTAAACGACTGTACTCTGAGAAACTCCAACAACAGTTCTCAGTAAGTGATTCTGCTTCGGTTTGGAGAGGCCTCAAACACCTCACAAACTACAAGCCAAAAAAACCCACTCCATGAATGATCTCCGCCTGGCAGACGAGCTGAATGAGTTCTACTGCAGATTTGAAAGACAATGTCCTGATCCCATCCCCCACAGCTCCACCAACCTGCTGCAGTCCCCCTCCCCTCCCCCCCCCCAGACCATCAGGTGCTCACGCCTCTTCATCTATATCACCTTCCCCTCCCCCACCAACAACGGCCCTCTCTATTCTGGAGAGAGACGTTAACCGGCTCTTTAAAAGACAAAATCCACGTAAGGCAGCCGGTCCGGACACCGTCTCCCCTCACACCCTGAAGCATTGTGCTGAACAGCTGTCTCCGGTGTTCACTGACATCTTCAACACCTCCCTGGAGACATGCCACGTACCAGGCCTCCACCATCATCCCTGTTCCCAAGAAGCCCAGGATCACAGGACTCAATGTCTACAGGCCCGTCGCCCTCTAGTCATGAAGTCTTTTGAACGGCTAGTCCTGACCCACCTGAAGTCCCTCACCGACCCCCTCCTGGACCCCCTGCAGTTCGCCTACAGAGCCAACAGGTCTGTGGACGATGCTGTCAACATGGCCCTCCACTACATCCTCCAGCATCTGGACTCCCCAGGAACCTACGCCAGGATCCTGTTTATGGACTTCAGCTCTGCCTTCAACACCATCATCCCGTCTCTGCTGCAGGACAAACTCTCCCAGCTGCACGTGCCCGACTCCACCTGCAAGTGGATCACAGACTTCCTGTCTGACAGGAAGCAGCACGTGAAGCTGGGGAAACATGTCTCAGCCTTTCGGACCATCAGCACCGGTTCCCCCCAAGGCTGCGTTCTTTCCCCTCTGCTCTTCTCCCTGTACACCAACAGCTGCATCTCCAGTCACCAGTCCGTCAAGCTCTTGAAGTTTGCGGATGACACCACCCTCATTGGACTGATCTCTGGTGGTGGGGAGTCCGACCATCTGGTGTCGTGGTGCAGTCAGAACAACCTGGAGCTCAACGCTCTAAAGACAGTGGAGATGGTTGTGGATTTCCGGCGGAACAGAGCCCCACCCTCCCCCATCACCCTGTGTGACTCCCCCGTCACTATTGTGGATTCCTTCCGTTTCCTGGGCTCCATCATCACCCAGGACCTCAAGTGGGAGCTGAACATCAGCTCCATCACCAAGAAAGCTCAGCAGAGATTGTTCTTCCTGAGGCAGCTGAAGAAATTCAACCTGCCAAAGACGATGATGGTCCACTTCTACACGGCCATCATCGAGTCCATCCTCTGCTCCTCCATCACCGTCTGGTACGCTGCAGCCACAGCCAAGGACAAGGGCAGGCTGCAGCGTGTCATCTGCTCTGCAGAGAGGGTGATCGGCTGCAATCTGCCGTCCCTGCAGGACTTGTTCGCTTCCAGGTCTCTGAAGCGTGCTAAAAAGATTGTGGCCGACCCCTCTCACCCCGGACAAAACCTGTTTGTGCCCATCTGGCAGGAGGCTGAGGTCCATCAGGACTAAGACCTCCCGCCACACGAACAGTTTCTTCCCGTCGGCAGTCGGGCTCATCAACAGATCCCCCACTGACTGACTATAACATTCCACCGGTCACTCCCCTTCACACTGCACATGGCACTTTACCTGTAATTCATCACTTTGTCGTCACTCGTCACTTTGTTACTTGTTTGTTACTTGTTCGTTAGTGCACTTTATGCTTAATATTTTTCTTTTTAACTTTTTTTAAAACCCATAGCCTTATTCTACTAACCTATTGCATTAGCATTTCATTTCACTTTATTTTATTACTTGTGCACTGCTGTCTTGTCTGTCTACTGTCACGCACTAACCGCCAAGACAAATTCCTTGTATGTTTGGCATATTTTGGTAAATAAATGTTTCCTGATTCCTGAGTCCGGATTTTGAAAAGATGTGCAATGTAAAAATCTGACAAATATTTAAACATTTTTTGTTTTTTTACAGGTTGCACTTATTCATATTGAACAGATGTGCAACACAGGTTAATTACAGCCACAATAAACTATTTTCTGCCTAATATTTGTAATTTTTTACAAAGATAAAACTGTATTTGCATTGTTCTAACAAGGTTAGAAACACTGATCTAGTGGAGATTGTCTATGATATGAGTCACAGATCCCATATTTGCACAATAACGGGGTAGTTTAGCTGTTAACATAATACGGTATGAAATTATGTGCTGCTACTCTGGGCATTGACATCTGTAATTTTATGAGGTCTGTTTATACCAATTTCAACGATGAGTGTTTTGGTACGCTACCAAAAACGTGCTAATTGATTTGCACTTGGGCATCATAGAGGATTTGGGAATTAAACCTGCGCAGCAAATGAACAAAATCTGATGGAGAGGAAATAAGAATCATTTTGTTGCTTACCTTGGGCGCCGGCACACAACAAGCTGTGAGGAAAGGGCCTGAAAAGTCACTGCTGAAGTTATTCTTGGAGTACAGCAATTCTCCCATCCGCGTAAGACCAAACAAAAAAAAACATCATAAGAAATCAGATTTTACTTTGATCTATTGGGTAAAAGACAATTTGAATGGATACAGAAGACTGGCCCTCAAAAAAGCTTCGTTCACATTTTCCTCTGATTAAAAAAAAAAATGCTCAAAATCCAGGTTCCTTTGATGCTTTTTGGAAAAGAAAAAAAGCCTCAGGTGTGGCTGAATGATGCAATGTTGAGCTGTTCCTACTCCTGTCAGGGGGAAAAAAAGAAATGGGAAAATCAGACAGGGACCTCAAGCATCCGTGTGAATGCAAAGGGTTGGGATGGCTCCGTCTCTGGAGAGTTTCTCTTTCTTTCTCTCAGTCTCTATCTTCCTATCTTCCTCCTTTTGCTCTATTCATTAATCAACCCTTTATTAAACAAAAGCAGCTTCCAGCACTGCCTAAGAGGTGAATAGATACTTTTGACAAGAGGACAGAGTATTTACCCCCCTTACCCTCTGCCTCTTCACTGCATGGTAATGAGGGGAAAAGCTCTTGCACCGTATAAAGACCGATTGAAAATACCAACCTTTGTAAATATTCCGTACAATTCAGGTTAACAGTCTGCCAGCTATTGTGCCTGAGAAAGCCACACAGCTGCTGCCATGTACAGTCTGCACGGAGAGAGGTTTTGTGCGTGGGCAACATGAATGGTGAGGTGAATTATCCACTACGGAAGAGAGTCCGAAAATGTAATTACCACCGTTTGACACCAACGTTTTTAAGGACACGGGCAATTTCGAGCACCGTTGTCTAACCACGTGCAGGAAAAGCGATCCGGCCGAGCAGGCAATCGAACATCCCACGGCCCAAGAAAAACTGGGCCAGGGTATATATATATATATTTTTTTTGAACAAAACAATTTCAAAGTTATAGCGTACTGGTCTACAGCAAAGGCACTCTGACAATGAGGCGTCGACCCGGAGAAGAGTCCTTAATAGGTGCCTGCCTGCCCTGGAGACCACACTCGCGTCTTTTGGGTCATCCATTCACAGCGGACAGCGGAGCATTCTCCTCAGCGCCGATCTGGCAGTGAGGCAGTCTTTACAAACCTTGCATCTCAGGCAGCGGCAGATGACCCTGTCACCGGTTCATAACTATGATGAATATGGCAGCGGGTTTACGGCAACACCGCCTCTTTCTGATAATATATGGTGGGTGCAAAATTGCCATTCATGGGAACCAGACTGTGTGACCCCCTTAAGGTTTTGAAAAACAATGAAAAATACTGTGGAATGAGTATTAGGGCAGGGAGGGTAGTGTTTAGAGACGCTGAGAGAAGGGATGTTATGCTACCACTGCTTTAATACTAATACTATTTTGTAGGGTGTTGCCATTCCACTCTATTCTGCCAACACACTTTCTTTTTTCAATGAGGTCCAGGCAGACCCCTGCTGTCAGGCTTGAGTCCATATCTCTCGACTGCACTGAGCATCATTGACCACATTATCTAACCTATCAATGATGCTGATCATTTGGAGGCTGCATGAATTTTAATGTCCGAATTGCAGCCCATCCAGAGATTGCAGCAGTGGTGACTGAGAGCAGTGGGGATGACATCACACAAAAGTCTGTCTTTTATTATACAGACCGTGTCTGATGATTTCATGTTTAGTATGTAATCACTGTTCTTAGGTATCAACATGAACTGATCGGAACTCATTTTGGTCTCTGGTATCACCCCAAACACCTCTGAACTTTCAATAGTTAACACGCATTGAAGAGAAGCACAAGTGCCACACAAGATGATATTTCTGAAGAGATGTTTAGCACATCCCCAGTTTCCAGCATATAGCGTTGTCGTACACCTGACTTCTCAAATGTCGTGAAAACAGGAAACTTGGATATTTTTTTCCAATATAGTGGTCCTGCAGAAACACTCAATTTCTTCGTCATATACATCAAATGATTTCTGTTGTTGTTTTTTGTACGTGAATGCGTGTGTCTGAAAAAGACTTCAGACAGAGGAAATGTAGCTCAGCAGTACGACAGAATGGCAGGAGAGCATCACACAAAGGGATATATCCTTATGATCAAAGTTTCCTGGTTACTGGATCACACTGTGAAGACACCCCTCCCCCCCCCCCTCCATCCATCCCTAAACCACTAACAGAATCTGAAATACTGCTTTTGTTAGAGAACTCCGTCAGTAATTATTTACTTGAAGTTAACTTAGCTACCAAGTCCTTTTTAGAGTTGTTACTTTTCTCAACAACCCAGTTCAGGTAAATATCAAACTTTCTAATTTGATGACAATCCGGTTAGAAGAAAACCGAATCACATAAAAGCTCCAACACAATGGATCAGCGAGATTGATCTTTTAAAAGTAAACACTCACATCACAATTGTTGGATGTTCACCCATTTATTTCATTTCTGCAAGTTCCTCCTTTTGATGTGTGATTCCAGCCAGATGACAATGAAAGCAGCAGCCCAACATGTGGAACCTTGATAGGTGAAGCCTCGGATTGCAAACCCATGTAAATTAATCAATAATTTTCATTAAAATCTTAGACTCGTTAGTACACCACCCACAGGGATCTTGTATGGACGGAAGTTAGCCTCCCATGCCCACTTGAAAGTATCATCTATGACATAGCCCTTACAACACCTTTGTGCGTATAAGTTATCAGTGACGTACAGACGTGCCTTCCTTCATATATAAATCAGAGAGGACCACATGAGAGATACGGAACATTTTGATCTTTATTCTGGGGAAGACATTCTCTCCAGATATGGGTGCTGCACATGCTGGTCCAGGCACAAATCCCAAATGCTAAAGGCTACTGACAACTGCTTCCGTGGCTGATATTTGGCTTCAGCAGAATTTAATACAGTTAGTGAATTTGCTAACCGCCAAGTCGAAAGAGATGAAAGCTGAAGATTGTTACACTATCAGCAGAGAGAGGCTACAGCCACTGGCCTGTGTGAATAGAGTAGAGCACAGATACAGAGGACCTCTTTTGACACAGGTATAGACCGGGCTGTTATCTGTCTGAGACGTTTGCAAAAGAAGATAACTGGTATTATCCATATTATGGAACAGTTCTGTGGACATATTGTTAGATGCAAGCGCAAACTACCTCCCCGCCCCCCAAAACAAATCTATTTAATGTCAATCTCAATCTCTACAGATTCTGTAATTATATGTAACAAAATAATGGTTTTTTTGGAGTTGTTCTGATTTAGGTCTGTACTCCGTGTAGCGATGAGAATTACGTTTGTGCAGATGTTAAATGATGGTAAATGAAAAATAAAATAGCTACCCATCGCCAGACGGAGATTTACCCTTTGGATTGTTTTGGATTAGCTTGTACATAAGGTACTTGTGAAACAATTTGATTTGGTCATCTCTCAATCCAAGAAACGTTGTGTTTATAATAAGAAGCACAGGGAACACGGGTTCTGAAAAGGCCCCCAATATTTGCTGGTTGCACCTGGACCCCAGAAATATTTAAATAGTGTCCTAGAGGCTTTATGCATATCACAATGAGGGAACATTTTGTCCAAAGATTCAGTCAAAATTGGATTGCAATTCATGTTGCGCAAAAGATAAATTCTAATCCTCTAATGATACTTTGGTAAATATCATTTCAAAATGACTTATCCTCTTTTTTTCTATGGTATTTCTACATAGATTATAATAAGTGGACTGAGCCAATGTTATGTCACTCATTGGTTTAAAGACACAGTTGTCAGTAATTGTGTCTATAAACTGGAGTTTGGTTGACATAGGGTTCATCAAATCATCTGACATGCATCCCTTTAAAAAGTGCCCCACTTTTTTCTTACTGTCAAATGACAGCTCTTCGAATTGTTTTGTGTAACAAACCCATGTGCCAATTGAAGGTGATTTTGGCCTTTCTCTTTGTAAGAGAGAAATAATTTCGTAACTCTGCAAAGGCCATCCCCAAAATTGATCAAAAAAGACGTTCCACATTGTATCATTTGTAGTTGATAAAACAGGAAAGGGTGGACAAAAATCAGGCTCTGCATTTTCAGCCGATAGCCACGTTAGAACATTAATGCGTTGTAATTCATGCTCTAAAACGACTCTTGTCACACCCTCCACCAACTTTTCCCATTTCTTCTACAGTCACCCGTCATCCGCCGACGGCAGGCGGTGAATCTCGAGCTCTGTATTCAGCTGGCTCTCCTTTTTTCTCTGTGAGATATACCTCCACATTTGCCATCAGACCCTCGCCCAGCTCAACCCAGCGGAAAAGAGCCCTTTGATGTGTCACTTCACATCTCACCCTCAAAGCTGTGAAATCTCAATTTTCTGATAAGCGCGAGCTCAATTTGTCAGGAGGTACTATTTATAGATCTGACAAGAGATAGAGCTGCACGACTTGCGATAATTCTTAACAAGTACTTCGAGGCCATTGCCATTTTTGTGTGAAGTAAAAACAGCACTGCCCCAGTCGATTCACCTGATAAAGACGCATCCGGAAAGTACATTTGAAATGACGCTTGGCAGCACTTCTGCTACTTTATTAGACACGGGTCCGGCGTGGCCCAGCTGCCTGTTTGAACTTGTATACCTCCGGTGGGTTGAAGATCTTTTAATATCTCAATTCAACCCACTTTGTGGATGTCAAAAATTACTGCCTCCATCGACACGGCAGCGAAAAGGAAAACGTATCACTTTAAGCAGCCTTTGGCGTGAGGTGCACACATGTTGTGAAAGCGTACTCTGAAAATGCAGTTAACCAAAGTGTTCATTACTAACACAAGCGCCAGTTGAGCAACAGCAGGGCAGCGTCATTGGATTGTAAACAAATTATTAGTAATTCTATTTCAAATGTCCAGAAAATCCAGATACCTTTATGACCAAAATGTTTTCTTGTGTTTCCCTGTTATCGAGTTCCCCTCTGTTTTATTTTGTCCTTGTGCTTGCAGGACGTCTCCCATCGTTCTCTTGTCTCTACTCATCAGTCACCTTTCTGCAGTTAGCTCATCAAGCACACCTGCTTCCCCGTTTTCAGCTCATCAAGCACACCTGCTTCCACGTTTTCAACTACAACAGAAGATTTCATGTTCTAAAAATATCTCATTGGCACTGATAAAAAGATCATGTCACATGCTAACATAGCGTAATGCGTTCATATTTAAACTGTATTGGGACAAAATGGTGCATCGCTTTCAAGGTAAAAACCAGATGACTGCTTTTGAAAGTCAACACACTTAATTCACTAACTGTCTCAGAACACACACTATTTTCCTTTTTAATTATTACCAGATTACATTGTGTTTTCCAGGAAGTGACTATAACATAATAGACCAATGAAATAAAAGAGAACAGATTACTTGGGGTGAATTTTTTCTTTGTCTGGTCCAATCACTCTCAAAAAGACTGTTTTTTGACTTGATTCCTATAAATGCACAAGTTTCTTTCCTTACACTTGAGCAATTTCTTTTTCAGTTTTGCAAC